TGCACATGACGTCAGATAGTCGAGTTTGAGAACGAGCCAAGGACTCGCAAAAATTGTTCCAAAAAAGTGATTTTTGATTATTTGTCATTGTCAGCGACGTTTAAGAGGCAATGTCTGAGAATCTCGAAAATCGCTAATTACACCAGGTCACTAAAAATTCAGAATGCTTCAATTTGTCTAATATTATACCCAATGGGTACTTACATAACAGTGATACATCAGACAAGTTTTGGTCCGGCTCCTTGGTCCCTAGTCCGATCACGGTCACAAAATAGGTCAAACCTGTAACTAATTTCAAAAAAATGGTAGCGTCTCAGACTCAAGGCCATTCGATTTCTCGCATCTTTTTAAGCATTTTTTATGTTGGCACCAAAAATTTATCACCTTTCCTTCATGGAGAAATTTCGGATTTTTCGTGAAAAAGTTGAGTTGTTCTGCAGTTTTCCTCCGTGGTGAAAATTTTTTGCACTTCATAGCCACGATTTTATTTCAAATTCATAATCTACGGACAATTTTACGTCGATATACCATACTGTCGCACATTTGCCGATTGACATCAAAGGAGTTTTTTTCAAAAGTTTGATCCGGTCTCAAAAAAAAGTTTCTGTTCTGCCTTTGGAAAACTTACAGAAACAAGGGAATTCCTGTTTATAGACGTTTTTCATGCTAAAAACTGTAATTCTGTTATGTATTCGTCAGATACAGCTTTGTAAACGTAGCGATTAAAACATGTTGAAATTTTTTGTCAGCCGGATAGATTTTTCGAGATGTGTTCGCTTTTACCCAATATTTTATGCTTTCTCTCGTTTTTATTTTTCAATGTTCATCTAACTTTTTGTGAAGCATTTATTTGGACGTTCTCCGATAGATTCAAGAACGGTAAGAAGTACATACACAAGGGGCAACACTCAACAACAAAAGTACATGAGAAAAACCTAAAACAGGAAAGTTATAAAGCGTCTTTTCTTCACATTTCAGTTTTTTCCATAGCAAAAATTGGATCACTGGATTCCATCAGTGCGTAATAAAAAGAATCACCGATAGTCCAAGTGCTTTCAAGTTTCAAATATCGGATCACTCCAGCATCGTCATGCTCTTCCTCTGGAATAGTATAGTCTTCCTTCCACGATTCATCGTTTATTTCTTGAGCGCGTCCCGATCGTGCTGCTTTTGATTGCCTTTTCGCTGCTTCATGGGAGAAGAAACCGGCAATCTGACGGAAGGGTTTCCTTTGATCCACTGAAAACCGCCCATCCGCCCTCCAATTCCGTCTTCTCGTTCGTTTCCTTCAGTTTTTTCACAGCATCCGAAATTATTGGGCAACTTTTTGACCACTTCTTCCAAACCACGAATAAAATATTTCAATGAAAAATCACGAAGTGTCTGCCGTTCATGTCTTATTATATGTTGTCCACGTTCAACATGCTTGACCACGCTTGAACATCTCAAAAATGTAGCTGAGCATCCTTCCTCTGAGCATGTAAATATCTTTCCCAAAGCGTCTTCGTAGCGCGGTCTCACTTCATCGCTTTCCACTTCATTTTCATCTTCTTCTTCAATGCAAGCAGTGTTTTGAGAATCAGTTGACTTAGTACATTCCGAAAAATAATAAAACTTGGTCTGCTTCTGCGACAATACAGCATTTCGTTCTTCATTAATAGACCCAATCACAGTTGAAGTGTATCCGGCATGTTCGAACTCGTATGTTCCAGTCAATGACTTCAAATTATTTGACGGAACAAATTGACCATTGCAAGAGCAACTGCACAATCAGGAAAACAATGAGTTTCATTATAATCTGTAATATTGAACATCTAATAATATCAGCAGTTTGCAAATAGTAAGAAGAATAGCAACACAAAATTTGCTTTGTGCTTTTATATCTATTTGATGTACTTTTGTTGTTGAGTGTTGCCCCATGTGTATTATAGGGGCACCGGACGGAAAAGGCGCGCTGTTCGCAATCTGGCCGAATTTCTAGGCCGCGAAGTAATTTTCCACTGAAAATGTGGCCTAACTTTTCAAACTCGGCCCCGAGGTCGCTCAAATTTTCACTACAAAAAGAGTTTCTCAACAGAGCGCCATTTCTGTGCGGTGCCCCTTGTGTATGTACTTCTTACCGTTCTTGAATCTATCGGAGAACGTCCAAATAAATGCTTCACAAAAAGTTAGATGAACATTGAAAAATAAAAACGAGAGAAAGCATAAAATATTGGGTAAAAGCGAACACATCTCGAAAAATCTATCCGGCTGACAAAAAATTTCAACATGTTTTAATCGCTACGTTTACAAAGCTGTATCTGACGAATACATAACAGAATTACAGTTTTTAGCATGAAAAACGTCTATAAACAGGAATTCCCTTGTTTCTGTAAGTTTTCCAAAGGCAGAACAGAAACTTTTTTTTGAGACCGGATCAAACTTTTGAAAAAAACTCCTTTGATGTCAATCGGCAAATGTGCGACAGTATGGTATATCGACGTAAAATTGTCCGTAGATTATGAATTTGAAATAAAAATCGTGGCTATGAAGTGCAAAAAAATTTTTCACCACGGAGGAAAACTGCAGAACAACTCAACTTTTTTTCACGAAAAAAATCCGAAATTTCTCCATGAAGGAAAGGTGATAAATTTTTGGTGCCAACATAAAAAATGCTTAAAAAGATGCGAGAAATCGAATGGCCTTGAGTCTGAGACGCTACCATTTTTTTGAAATTAGTTACAGGTTTGACCTATTTTGTGACCGTGATCGGACTAGGGACCAAGGAGCCGGACCAAAACTTGTCTGATGTATCACTGTTATGTAAGTACCCATTGGGTATAATATTAGACAAATTGAAGCATTCTGAATTTTTAGTGACCTGCAGTTTTTGAACTTCTCAGACATTGCCTCTTAAATGCCAATATGAATTTTAGATTCCTAAAATCAGTAGAAATCACCTGTCAGTGTTTTTGTATGACTTCTCAGAAAAAGACAACGGATAACAATGACCTATTCACCAAAAACAGAAACGCCAAAACATGAACATGATTAAACAGATTTTAGCCTCAGGTTTCCTAGGAATTGGCAACATTTTAAACTTGGATAAAATATATCAGTGACCAAGGCAATTGGGATTATTGCTTTCTTTTAGATTGACCCATGTAAAGTTAATCTTGACTAAATCGAATAAAGCCGGAACTTTCGGAAGTTTTGGTAATGCATAAAAGTGATCTCGACAAAAAACAGCCTCAACACCTTCTGCAACGTGTGAAATATGTGTTCATCTAGATCAACTGTTGGTGCAGGAACCAGTCGGAGATCAAAAAATTCTGAAGGAAAAGATGGCTCGCCGTATCATGCGGGGTTCAACACAAAATTCTCATTCCTATCTTTCAATCACCATTAATTTAGTAGACCTACTAAAATAAGACATTGCACAAAATAAATAAAAACTTTTTAGCTGGATGACGGTAGTCTAGAAACTTCATTCCAGCTTTGCAACCGTATTTTATTTTCATCCTCCTACTTCTTCGCCCCTCTCCATCCATCTCATTTTTTGATCGTAGCTGCTACTTCCGATTTCCGTGCACTTTTCCTACTTGAGCACACCGCATTAAGCGGAACGAGCCGAGAAGGCCCCCCCCCCCTACGTCATCCCGACTCGTCCAGCCCATCAATTTGTGTTATGGGTCCCAGTGGTGAAATTTCCATATTTCCTCCGACTTATGGGTCTTTTCAAGTATGGGTTTCCTCGTGAAATGTAAGGAGGGGGGGGGGTGATTTCTTCTTTGTGCCCAAGTGGCTCCTAAGGGAATTTTGTTGTGTAGGTAGGTGGAAAGCAGGATGCGAATGCATACTATACAGAAAATTGAATAAACTAAATGATTAAAAACTGACAACAACCATTTCTTCCTCCAAATCGGGGTATATATGTACAACGCTCGAAAATCAAAATAAAAACATACCTGTCGGTCTTTGGGGAGTTACCGATCGGCTACCAACTACGTTTTGCATGTTGCTATTGCTGAAAATAAAATGATAACAATGGCAAATAGTTAAAGTCAGATTGGAAGAAGCGCTACGTGAAATCGAGGGCGGGAAAGCGGAAATCAGAAAAACCAATTCTCGGGAATAAGTTCATACAACATTTTTATGCTTTCTCACGCGAATACACGCTAAAAAGCTTTTCCGTGGTTAACGCGGTTATCCATCATGCTATCCCTATAGTAACATTGTTGGGCAAATGACAAGAAGACGAAGGTGATGTTTCCGAAAAGATTTTCTATTCTCCAAAGAAAGAGCGGGAGCAAAAATATTTTCTCGCGTGCTGATCCTTATTAATTACCGCTTGGGTTGCCATGAGAGCCACAACCCAGATATTATGACGCTGATTTTTAGTGGCGCCGGAGGGACAGAAGAAGGATGCGTATTTTGCTCGAAGGAGTTTATTATTATGAAAATAATAAGAATGAAAAGAAAATAAATGAGTAGGTGTGTGTTTGGGTGAATGATGGAATAAAGCTATAGAAGTATATAACTTTAATAATTATAATAACTAAGGGGCGGAAAATTTAGTGTCGAGACAAGAAGCGAATGACAAACGAAAAAAACAGTTCGGGATGGAGGATGTGGTGGGATTGATAATATGTGGTCGAGAAGTGAATAAAAAAAAGTACACGTCTGATAGTATTACAAAAATGACAAAGAAACGTTTGAAAATTCAACCTGCACTTATCCCATGACTTGGGAGTACACGAGAGCAAGCGATAACATTTTAAAGAATCCTCCCAATTGGTACAATACAATTTTCGTCAGGATTCTTTAAAATATCACATAATGAGGATCAACCCGTAGGATGAAAACCACTGGACTCAATTAGAAAGAGAAAAAGAGAGAGCAGTCAGTTCGCCGGAAAAAAAGAATGGGGAGGAGTTACAGGAAAGGGGTTTGGAGACAGCAAAAATACTGAAAAGCATGTGTATTTGTGATGGTGATGGGAAAATATTCTTCTTTTTTCTCTAAATAAGTCGTTCTTCCTTGGCGATGTGCGACATGGGCATCGCGTAGGCGGCCGACAGGTTATGCTCCTCGCGTGCCGGATTGTACTTGCCGTGCAGTTTACGTGACTGTCGGATGTATCGGAGGATGAACAAACTTGTGGCGAGCAACAGTAGGCCAAGCACTGAAAAATTAGTGGGTACAAATTGTTGATTGATCAAAGGAGAGTGATACCGATCAAAGCGATAATAGCGATAATCCAGCTGGCCGCCGCGCTTGACTGTTTACCATTTGAGGTGTGGTGGTGGATGACGTCGGATGGCGTCGACACTTCGTTTGGTTCTGTTGAAAAATAATTTAGTTACTAGATATTGTAAGATCAGCTTGCTTACCTGTCGTTGTCTCTTCCTCACTTCCCTCCTCCACAACTCTTTCCGTGCTAGTTTCAAACTCATCCGGTTGTAAGTGTGGTTCAATGTCTATTGGAGTGGGTTGACCTCCCTGCTTTGTCGTGGTCATCCAGAATGGCAGACTAGTTTGAGTTGTGGTCAGAAGCTCCTCAGACTCTGTCTCTTCCTGAGTCGTTCCTTCGGTTTCGCTCTCAGTCACCTCTTCCTCCATAGTCGTTGTTGGCGTCGGCGTAGATCCTGCAGTGGATGGTGGCACAAACTCTGTAGTAGTGCTCTCAGTGACATCTTCTGTCGTCATGTCATCATCCTCGTCCTCCTCCTCTAATTCGGTAGTCGTAGATGGTACAGGCGTGGTAACAAACTGAGTAGAAGTTTCGAAAGTGGAAGAAGGAGCGGTCGAGGTGGTTTCAACCTGTATGGTACTTGGCGTCGGGAAAGTCTCCTCCGTCTCCTCGGTCGTCTCCTCTTCCTCTTCTTCCTCATTCTCATTCGGCATGTTTGGCGACACAAACTTGTGTACAGGAGTCTGTTGAGTGGTTGGAGCCAAGGTTGTGGTTTCAGGGGTTTGTGGGAAGATGAAGGTGGTCATGGTCTGTGGCGCAACTGGTTGTTGTGTGGCGAATGTTTGCTGGGTGTTCTGATGCCATTGTTGTTCTCCAGCAGTAATAATGTGTTGGTTGAATGGTGGTGGGAGAGTGGAGCTGACATCCAGTGGTCTCAATGGTTCCCGGGTAACTGTGAATCCAGCTGAAAACTCAGAATCATAGTTTTTTTTTTAACAGTTGTGAAGTCTTACCGGATGGTTCTGAAGGATTTAGAGCTTGTTCTGTCGTATGAAGTGGAGGAATAGTGGTGGTTGTTGCCACGGTCTGCACAGTTGGTGCACCAGTTGGTACTTGTGAAATCTCCAAAACTGGGAACGAAGGTGTTACACTAGCATTGTTCTCGACAGGTTCCGTTGGCTGAACACTGGTCGCTGATGGGGCGTGAAGTTGCATGCAATCCACGAATTCTGAAAAAAAAACTGGTTCAGTTGCTTCTTTTTGGAGATTTTCACGTACGTCCATGGATCGGATGTGGGCAGAGGCAATCATAAGTTCCATTCATCAACGTCACACTGGTCATCTTATCCATGTCATCATCAAGAACACACTTGGCAGTTGGTCCAAACATTGAACACGCAGCATCCCTGAAAAAAATTTGCTTTTTGGTTTTTCTCCCTTTATCAACAATATAGTGATCGGAACAAGGGTGTGTCCGCTGCGCATTCCGACCAATGCATTTTATTTTATTCCTTGGTCATCCCTTCTCAAAAAAGAAACGAAGAGAGCGATTATCTTTTCTCCTAATTAATCCGATCATCAAATGAGTTTTCCGCCCCATTCCCTCTGTCCTTCTCTCGCTCTCTCTCTCCTTCTATCCCATTTTTCCGTGCCGGCCAGCCGTTCCGCTAGGGCTGATGATGGTGATGAAGACCGGAGGCGAAACAGACACGATCGGATTGCGCTTAAGAAAATTGAGCACAGGCAGGCCGAAAGTTTTGAAATGAGAGCAAATAAAAGTGACCAGCACAGAGGGAGAAGGAGACAGGTCATTGTTGTCGTGTGTGTGTGCGCTCGCCCCAGCGCGCTTTTTCTCTTTGGACCTCTCTAGATTCATCAGGTTGTGTAATCACTTCTGCTTCTTCTTCTTTTGAAACGAAACGCAAAAGAAAGCGCAACCAAGACACAAGGGCAAAAAGTAGTGCGCTGGTCTACTTGAAACTTGAGCTAGGATTTTCAGATTCAGTGCAAAGATGATCTAATTGGTCCAGTTCCTCAGGATCTGAAAGCTCTCAAAAGATACAATCTACCGTTTTACAACCAGTGCGGTCACCTTATCATAAAACTACTCTTTTACAGTATCAGTGGTACAGTTCCAAACTAATCAGTACTAATCAGTTGTTGTTCCAGTCTATTCCGAAAGACAGTCAAAAAATCAGATAAGTTCGTTAATCTGACGAGTGTCCAGATTAAAGCCCCCGATGTGCACTTGCACCCGCCGCAACTACCAAGACCATCATTCCATTCCGCAATGCTCTAATACTCGTCCATAAGCTTTCTATCTCTTTCGTGTGCACCTCTGACCGCAAGCTTCGCGCGCGCTCGGACAAAAACAAACATCTCAAGTTGTCACCTCACGCTAAAGGAAGGAGCGGGGGTCTAATGAGTGAAGTGAACGACTTGACAGTCGAGTGTCTTATCCGCCTCGATTTGAAATTCCAAACGATGATTTCGTAATGAACCGTACATACATACCCGAGACAAACGTCAAGTACGTTGCAGTTGGCGCCGGTGAAGCCCTGACGGCACTCGCACTGCGCTTGACCATCCTTGAGCACACATTCGCCATTCGTGCATTCCGGTTTGCATTCTGGAGTTGTTGAGGCTTCTGTGTGCGACTGTAATGGCGGGTATTGGAGTATTAGGACAAGAAATGCATAATCACGTACCGATTCGCACAACAATCCGGTAAATGCTGGCGGGCATTCACAATATGCAATTCCATTATTCGATCGGCAAACTCCGCCGTTCTGGCATGGAACTGAGGAGCACACGTCCAACTCGCAATGGTCTCCGGTAAAGCCGTTACGGCAAAGGCATGTGGCACTGCCTTCCTGAGACACTAGACACGTTCCGTTGTTGTGGCAATGGTATCCAGCGCACGGTGACGGAGCAAGCGTCCATTGTGGGGTCGGGTTGAAGCCTTGATTTGAGCTAGCACCTCCGAGCACAGAAGGGTCAATTCCCTGGAATGTTTAGAGATGCTCATCCGGAGTAATGTGTAAACAAGTGTCATATTACTTCCAATAATAAACTGTGAAAAAGTAAACAAACCTTGAATAATGGGAACTGTGGTGTGTTAGCAAGCATGTCGACGTCCTCATTCTCTGAAAGTTCATGTGTATTGGTTGGTCATGCAACGAGCCGGAACACACACACACACATGCCTATACATGAGTGGGCCTACTCAAGTGCAAAAAGTGTGTGCGTCTGTGTTCCGTTTCATTTCACAGTTATTTATTTATTTACGAAATAATAATAACGGTCCTGTTCCGTTTTCACTGTCCGAAAAGCAAACAGGAGTTTGTGAAGAAAAAAGACCAGTGCGTTTTGAGAAATGCGATTAGGAGGTATTAGGTATTACGTCTCTGAACTTACCATTCTCACCGTCCTCGTTAGCCGCGTCCAAGTACGGGCAAGAACAATTGAGAGCGTTGGCGGTGAACGAGTTCCTGGAGAGATGCGGTGGGCACCCGGTGGCTTGTTCCGTCTGGACGACCATATCGCGTAGGCATGCTGGTCCGGTTACTGTAACAATTAGCCTATAGTTACTTTTTGATCTTTGTGCGGGATGTTGAAAAAATTCTCGGAATGGATGGGAAGGATAAGAACAAAAAACACCCGACGATGGTGGCCCCCCGGCGGTGGATCCACTTGACGAACAACAAAACATTTTTCTCCCCGTTCTTTTCCAACACAACATCTGTGTGTGTTGTTGTGCTCAATGCAAATATCTCACTCATCATGTCATGGTATCGGACCGCAAATTTTGAAAAGACTCCTCTCCGAGATTAGTGTCAACATTGACCTTGGCATGTTGGAAGAGGGATAACGAACGAGAGTGAAGGCAAATGATTTCTAGCGGGGTTACCTGATTGGATGCGGATCGAGAAGGTGCGTGGGTTGGAGCTTGGCGTGAACTCTACTCGATTAGCAGCTCCGTGCTCGAATGTGCAATCCAGGCCGGACGCGGTCAGTTCCCAGCTGAACCGTTCCCATCGTTTTGAGAAGTTTCCAGATGGATCTGTAAGAACTGATATTACGAACTTCTGCATCCAAACATGTCGAGGGCTCATACCTTGAGGAGCCACACATTGACCAAGTGTGACACCTGTGGAACTATCCACAATTGAGAGAAGGGTGGTTGGCATTCCAGAGATTGACCTGAAATTGTAATGAAACTTCCGTCTTGATGTTCAACTTCACTTCCAGTTAGGAGTTAGGGGGTTCGTTTCGAATTTCTAGTAGGAACGCGTACGGGATTACCTTACCACTTCCGTGGGGTGAAGTAATTTCCGCTTTCGCCGCTAAAGGTGGTCACATTTCAATGAATTTAACCACCCAGAAAAGGAAAACGAGAGAGTATGTACATATATTATACAATTAAAGTTAGGTACCTTAAAAACTGATAACCGCCGGTCCAGGGTAAACTAGATTCGTCAAGTATCCAGACGGCATTGCCTTGCGACGGGTTCGTGAAGTGAAAAACGTCGTCTTCGACTGATTGCGCGCGACTAATTGCCACGTAAATACCTGCAAACCAAACCAATTAGGCCTTCATTGCTTCAACTTTTTCATCTTCTTTATTTATCTTACCAAATATTAGCAAAATCCGACAGAATTTAGTGGTCATGTTGATTTGCTGCTCACGGGCAACTCCCAGCTTTTCTTGCAATACGATATCCGATGGTTTTCAATGATCTGTCGTCAGTCTGAATAAGAAAAATACAATTGTTGATGAAGATAGAGATGAGGAAAAAGAAAATTCTATGAGGCCGAAAATGCCTCTAAGATAGACATAAAATACGTGTGAAGGTTAGACCGCTCTAGGGTGGAAAACCAAAAAAAGGGAAATGAGGATGGGGATGGGGAGAGAAGATGAGATTGTGAGACGATAGCCATTGCTTTCAAAATGACGGAGATGATGAAAACACTCGGGTAGGTAACAAAGAAACGACATTTCTGGTTTTCATTATCACTGAGACCTCTGTTTGTGGTGCCTAGTGCCTAAATCGGAGCCACTTATTACTATTAGAGTAAACCAGAAAAGTGAAAAGGGTTACGGTCATGCCAACAATAAGGAAATACGCGTCTAGACTGGTACCGTTGCAAAAGTGAACGAGACAAGAAAGCGGAGGTGAGGTCAAAGTGAGCTGTCAAAACTGCGTAAAAAACAAACTTGACCACACAGAGGGGACGCGGGGCCCCCGGCGACGGGTAAAACACCTCCTGGGGTGGGCCGCGGTTCGTGCGAGTGCGCACGCGGAGACGCGGAGAAGGTTAGGAGGAGGTGGGATCGGAAAGGCGGGCGGACAAATAGAAACCGCGCGGCGGACCGGGGGCTGGGGGAAATCTGATGGGGTGAGCAGAGCAGCGGGGCACTGAGAGAGGAAGAATCGGAGGAGCGGAAGAGTGGAAGTGGAACGAACGCGCGTTCGATTCCGCGCTGTCGATTTGAAAAGAGTGAATGAGAAAGAAACGGGGGTGAAAGTGATACGAAAGCTTATCAGCTTAAGTTCTCTTTTTTGGCTAATGAGTGAGAACAAGTAATCGGGTCGTGCCTAGCTACAGTAACCCTACCGAGGTTCTCTGGCCTTCATCTCATCCTAGTATATCGAAAAGACCAACTGTTCCACGGCAAGAAGTTTTCAAACCTTTTCAAGCGTAAAATCTATTTTCTATCCAGAGACCGTTTGAAGGACAGAGACGGATCAATCATGTGGAATTGAAGTTGAACAGAAATTGTTCATTTCTTTTCCTCTCGATTCTGTGCTTTTCGTAATAATGAATTTCTAAACATTCTCAAAGTAAACAATTTAAAACTCTATCTTTCCGTCCGAAAGACAAAGAATTTTGACCGCCGTGCTGACGGAAGAAAAAAGTTCGAGTTCAGTTCACACTCGAAACCAAAAAAAAAGAGGAAGAGTGCAGAACAAGCGTTCGGTCTTGACAACAACGCACAAACACAAGTGGCTCCCGGCCTCCAGCCTCCAGCTCCACCAGTTCGAGCTGATGGTGCTCAACAACAATCATCGCCCTGTTTCTACAAGAAACGACCGATTGACTCTCACTCGCTTGCTCTCCGGAAAGCAGACCACCCCGCCACGGGTAAAAAATTGGAGGGTGGCTTGGACAAACACAGTGAGGAGCCAGGCCAGGCGCTCGCTCCGGTCAGACACACGCTAAGGCTGATTTTTTGGCGCCGGTGTCTAATCCGAAAATAGCCAGCGGAAAGGTATGTGAGGGAAAGGGGGGGGGGTCCACTTGAGCAGATTATCAACACAACTAGAGCTTGTGTTAGGGGGTGCTTGACCAAAAAAAGGCCAAGAATTTCTTCGAGTGATGATGATGATGATGATGACTATGATGAGGGGAGTGATGGTGACGAAAAAAGCACAGAAACAGGTTGAATGCCTCGTGAAGAAGTGTTCTTTTTTCGGAAATTTGATCTGCGATGATGTATTAGAAACTGGAGGAATCACGTCCAGTCACAAACAAATTTGGTTGCGAAACGTCATTTTGCAACTAGCGGTTGAAAAAACATAGAGACTCTTCTCAATTCCCATAGTTGCAAGATGTTCAGAAGACAACTTTCAAAACGTGTTTCTAAAATGTTTCTAAAAACCGTTCGACTTCACAATTTTTGCGTTTTCTTGCTTTTTGACAAATTGGAATCCGACATTCTCGATTTAGTTAACGGTTTTTTCGCTCAAACCCGAATCCTAGAATTCTAATAGGAACTGGGTCGTAAATTAATTAGTTTTCCGGCCTGAACCCAATGTATGTATGTTTATGTATGTCTTCTGCCGAAATGAATGAATAAGAGACGAGAACAATGGGAAGAAGTCATGATTGATGGAATGGGTTCGGGTTTGGGTTCGGATATTGAAGGAATAAGAAAACGAAGAAGAAGACGGACAAGGGGTTGAACCTAACTAGTTGCAATATATACACAACAACAATATCGTTCAACTTTTTCTCCTTGTTTTGTTTTCAAGATAGATGAGTATTTGCGTAGGCGGCTGAACCAAAACCGAAAAGAAGGAGAAAAAGAGAACTGGTAGTCATCAATTGCGAATCATCATCATCATCGTCTTGCTTCTGTACAGTTTTCTCAAGAACGCGCACCGTGGTTATTATTATACTAATAACAACTGTTAAATCGCTTTTCCCGTCTCTTTTCTGACCGTCAACAATGACAAAAAGGTGAGAACTAGGTGAATTGTTACGGGAATTGGAAGGAGACGGATAATTACTAGGAAGAACAAAGTTACTAGTCCAAGGGAGATCCGACGACCTCTCAAGTTCACGACTTTTATAGCCAAACAGTGTAAAAAACAACAGGTTTTTGCATGGGATACCGAGATACAGAGATACCCGGAGACCCCAGAGACCAAAACAGATATCTGACAGTTTATATCGATCGGAAAAAACGCTGGCCGTACCTAACCGAAAGAAACGGAGTGAATACGTATTCGTCGTAATCGGGCAATCCCTAGCAGATGTGTTGCGGAACACGAATGAAATGAGAAACGAGAATACTTGGAGGAGGATGGAAGACAAGTGTCTTCAGCTGTTCAAAGTTCATCAAGAAAAAAAAGGACTTGAAAGCGGTAGGAGGACTCTTATTCTCATCTGACATTGGTAAAGTACATTCCGATGATCTTATAAGCCCGGCAGCTGTCAAGGTTGTTCTATTTGCCATTGTGATTCAGTTTTTTCTTAAATGTAACGAGGGCTTCAAACATGGAATCTAGAAGGAAATGGATTAAACTGTTCCAGTTCAAGCGTTTTACAATGTACACGTTTTTCTTGTACATTTTTTTGTTCCGTCGCAAAACGTCTGACAATCAAAACGGTCAAAATCTGCATTCTCTTCAAACATTTTTCAGCTGGACCACTTCAAACTATGAAAAACTTGGTTACGAAGATTCTCGTTTCAGATTGACTTTATATCTGAACGTTCTATGATTGCAGAACGTCATTATGTCGCAGAAAAACAAAAGTACATTACAAAAGAGGATACAGTTTAAGGTAGAAGACATAAAGAATCCAACAAAAAATTTTTCGGCAAATAAGACTTGGGTAAAACGATGACGAAAGGCACTGCCCAGTCCAACTTGTGGTGGACATGGGCAAAGATATACGAGGATATATAAAAAGAGGGAGAACTAAGACGGCAGATGCGCAGGTCAACAAACGGTATATACAAATGGTGGAAGTGGTGGTGGGAGACTGAGGGGGGTGCGAACCGAAGAACGCATTCCGACCGTGTCTTTCCTCTTTTCTTATGACCTCCCTACCTTCCTACCTCTGCTAGGCGGCACCTCTTAGCAGTGCATGCCCATGAAAAGGTCCTTCACGTCCATCACTTTATAATCTTGGCCTACTCGGGTTAGTCCGGGGCCAAGGTTTTAGACGCACGATTTCACATAAGCTATTAATTAGATGGAACGGTTTTCTGCTAAGTAGGCCAATTTTGTACATAGTGTTCGTCTTCCTTATATAACAGGTTTCTCGCAAAGGAGAAAATGGGAATGGAAGGCTGGGATGAGATCATCTATAAGATCCTCAACACAACCTTCATACTGTTTTCAATGTCAAACCTTATCAGTTACTTAAGAAAAAGTAAAACAAAAATAACTTACTTTTCCGACCACCCAGATTGTTTTGAATGCCACGCCTAAAACGTATACCAGGTATTGTTGGGTTTTGCTGATTGAAAATTATATTTCCGCAAATCGGGGGGAAGTGGTAGGCCCAAAGATAGAAGACAAAGATAAGAAGACAAATCCCAAGGACAGCTGTCAACGGAGAGGGCGATAGAAAGAGCTAGCACCTCACGCAACATCGTTCACATTTTGACATGTGCTCAAATATTATATGGTAGCAAGAAATGGGGCGAAGAGTGACCAAAGATGGGTGTGATCACGACTATTGTAGCGAAAAAAGACAAAGCCCAATGAAGAGCGTCCTCACTTTTTGTTGGCTTCCGGCGTATCCGTCTTGAGGATTAGTCTAGGTGGAATGGAGCGGCCACGTGTCTCAATTGACACAAGTAGCAATTAGAAACGGATTTGGGTTGAGAGAGGGGGGTGAAGCTTACCAGTTAGAACAGAAGAACACAAAAACAAGCACCAAGAGACCAGGTGAGGGGGTACCACAATTTCCCTCAAAGTAACAAGATATTAGTACAAATAACCGGTAAGACCCCGAACCCTTTGTGAGTCCACGATGAATCAGACTGCAGTGTAAATGAAAATGTGAGAGCAGAAGGGTGGTGGTGGACAGTCGGTCGATTCGACCCGCTTCAGGATGTAACAAGCGGATGAAAAAGAACTAGTCCTAGTGTGTGGATAGCCTCAATTTGGTTGGAAAAAAAGGAGGAAAACGCGTGTGCGTGTGAGTGTGAGTGCCCTGCCCTGTTTTCACTTTCTCCAGTTGACATAGGTACAGTAATCCTGACTGTCTATCAACAGAGTTATCAAAAACAGCTGAGTCTCCAGGAATCTTACGGCCTGAAATGTTTGATTTGAAAGTGTGGTGTTGTTTTGCCATTTCGTTTCTTATCCTTATTCCTTTTAAACCCAATCGCAAACACTGGGACCATCTGTCAGAAGATGGCGGGCCACACCCGTACGTACGTGTATCGCTATTTGAATAGACTCTCCGCTCTCTTCCCTTTCTTCTCTGGTCTCTCCTTCTTGCATGACCCCCTGTCGATGATGATGCAAGTGCGCTCCACCGCACTTTGCAATTTTGCTGTGTTGGCCACCAGTCGATTGTGGCTAATATCACGTTTTCTTCCATCCTTTGTTCCGCTCAAAGACGAATGCATTGTTATCAGCCTCATCAGCACACAATTTGTTATATACTTTATCCCACAATTTTGTGGGGAATCGATTATTTGAGTGGATTTCTATTCCACGTCAGCACTCTTTCTATTTGCTTTTCTCGTCCCTTTGTCGACCATTCCATACCAAAAATCGACTTTCAGGGTAATTTCGTCGAAAAATGTGGCTGAAATCCGGCATTATCCTGTCTTTCCTTGCCATTGCGGCCTACGGCCAGGCACATCTTAAGTACACGAAAGAGATGAACGATCCGGAGTTTGTGGAGCAGAACGTTCATCATCAAGGACATGGACACGCTCACGGAGGACACGGACATGCCCATGATGCTGATGGAGGATGCCCTTATGCTAAAGGTGAGGGATAACTGCTTCTAGCCAGGGGGAAATTTATTTTTTCCAGCTGCCGCCGCTGAAGCTGCTGCCGCTGCTGCTCATGGACACGCTCATGATCACGGACACGCTCACGATCACGGACATGCTCATGAGCACGAGTACGAAGACGTTTACGATCACGGTCATTCCCACGACGCCTACGACCACGGACATTCTCATGGAGAGGAAGAGGAAGCACATGGACATGCCCATGACCACCACGGACATTCTCAGTAAGTTCTATTCAATTAGTTGTCTGATCAATCTATCTACTTCAGCGGATCTGAAAACGCCAAGCATGTCGCCGCCGAGTACCAGTACACTGGGGCGCTCTCCTTCCTCAACGACCCCAAGACCAGACTCTGGGTCTACGCGGTTTCTTCCACGCTTCTCATCTCCGCCGCCCCGTGCTTCATCCTCATGTTCATTCCAATCCAGGCCAACACCTCGGAGTCTGGTCCTCTTCTCAAGGTTCTTCTTGCTTTCGGATCGGGTGGACTTCTTGGAGACGCCTTCCTCCATCTGATTCCACATGCTACCCCAGCTGGAGACGGCGGACATGGACACTCTCACTCACACGGACATTCTCATGGCGGAGCTGGTGGACACTCCCATGGAGCTCACGACATGAGCGTCGGTGGATGGGTTTTGGCTGGTAAGCATAGAGAACACAAGGAAACTGTCTAAATCACATCACAATTTTTCAGGAATCATCGCCTTCTTGACTGTGGAGAAGCTCGTTCGCATTCTGAGAGGAGGTGAGGGACACGGACATTCCCACAGCAGCCACGGACACTCGCATGGGGACAAGAAGGATGAGAAGAAGAAGGAGTCGAAGGAGAAGGTGAACAAGGAAGAGAAGGAGAAGGACGAAGCGACCATCAAAGTGACTGCTTACCTCAACCTTGCCGCCGATTTTGCCCACAACTTCACCGACGGTCTTGCCATCGGAGCCTCGTTCATCGCCGGAACCACTGTCGGAGTCGTCACCATGGTCACCGTTCTCGTCCACGAAGTACCCCATGAGATTGGAGACTTTGCCATTCTCATCCAATCCGGATACTCTAAGAAGAAGGCAATGCTCATCCAGTTGGTCACTGCTCTCGGCGCTCTTTCCGGATGCGTTATCTCTTTGCTCGCTGCTGATGCCGATGCTCTCGCCGACGCTGCCGCCAGCTCCTGGGTGCTTCCGTTCACCGCCGGAGGATTCATCTACATTGCTACTGTCTCTGTGATTCCGGAACTTTTGGAGAACAGCTCGTTCTTCCAAACTGTCAAGGAAATCTTCGCGCTTCTCACCGGAATCTTCCTCATGTATCTCATTGCGATTTATGAGTAATTCACTAGTCCCATTCCCAACAACCAAACAAAAAACTTTGTTAAGTATTTATATATTTATTTATCTCATCATTGTTGTGCTGGTTTTTTAATGATTTTCTCTTTTTCTATCTCGGACAAAGGTGTTGGTCGAACGGTTTTTTCAGCATGACATGTCAGGAAATAATGTCCATTTTCTCGCCGACTCTTCCTTAACAGGGCAGTCTGATGGATTAGTTTTTCTGCTGGACACGTTTGAATCTAAAAAAGAAAACGATGAGAACATGCAATATCCCATCCCCAAACCATCTTCTGACGTTTTCCAATCTCAAGCTCTTGGAACAAATTCCGGTATGTGGTTTCCGTCTCGATTGGCACTTTTGATCTGTACAATAACAAACTGAAATGAAAAGGAATGTTTCCAATTACGTGGGCAGGTTCGGCGTCCTCCTAGAGAGTCGTGTTCTTTGAACGGATGTCTCGAATGGCACGTATTGGCTACGATGGGTGGTTTCCGAGTAAAATGGAACTTTCTCAGTAGAATTCTCTTCGGTTGCAGCGGATAATCTGAAATTTTTGGAATGGTAGAATTATTTTTTATGAAGTTTGCGTTGCTTCACCTTCGTTCTCTCTTATTGGGCGTTTTCCAAGTGTACACCGATTTGTTAGTGGTATCGGCGTAAAACGGAACCGTTTCCGGAACTGTAGGATACTCAGTGTCCTCCAGACGGTGCGGAATAGTGTCTTAATGATTTTCAATTTGGTATCAAGTGGAAAAATGGCAATGTTTGTCAGAATGTTACTTGCTCTTTTAATTAATTTCAAAACAAACACACCTTCTTCTGTGTCAAGAGTTCGCTGGTCATCATCATCATCGTGTTCGACGCCAATATGAGCATTCACAGTTGAGTATAAATATGGTGCATCGTCCTCATCTTCTTGGTCTTCATAATTGTAATCATAAAGGCTGTCTAATTCTGTGAGAAAATGAAAATAAAGTCAGTAAAATCGCTGGACTGATGGAAGTTTCTAGGGCTGTTTATTCCGGACCTAATTTACCGGATTACTTGTGTTTTTCGAAATGTCGTGGTAAAACAGTCAGAAATAATTATTTCGGTTGTAAAGTATGAACCGCAAATTCTAGGGGAAACAATACAAACGTACCTCGCTGAGCCATTTTCAACTAAACTATTCCAGACTGAACAGACTACCAGTGGCTTTTCTCTTCTTAGCAGCGTGCGTTGTGCATGTCCATGACGGCGAGGTAACCAAGGGAATGTAGGCGCCGGAATTTCTTTGCATGTTTTGCAGATCATCTTTTCACTTTTTCACAACAACATTGTACCTTGTGCTCCTTCACAAATGCATCTTCGTGCTGAGTATCTCATTCAGTGTCGAGCAATTACCGATTTCATCAATTTCAAACGATTTTATTTATTCCTCCCAATAAACTATCACAGATATACTAAAACTTCGTAATTGTAACAATGAAGGCTTGTACGGCAAGGGTCACTGGTGAATTTTTTAATACAATTATAACAAAAAACAACTCATTTCAAAAAATCCTGATCTGTTCTAATCATTCACAGTAATAGGAACTTTATGCCATGCGTTGTGGATGAGCCCACGGACGTTCCAGATTCCGCTAGCCGTTTCAGGTTGGGTATTGTAAGCTCGGTCGACAGCTTTGGCGATAATGTTGAATTCTTTGACTCCCGGAGGAATCTTGACCTCAGCCCGGAACAAGGTCCACGCATACATGTGCTCCAAATCCTGTTTCTTCTCCTGCTCCATTTCCACGCTGCTCCAGGATTCTCCGCCGTCAACGCTGACCTCGATTCGGATGATTCCTCGGCCACCGCCGCTCCACGCGTATCCGGAAATGTCAACAATACCGTCATCTCTATCGACTTTGGTGTTCGGTGCCGGAGAGCAGATGACACATTGAACCGGATACTCTTGGATCGAAGGGACCGTCTCCCACTTGAGTTCGTCGCCAATGTTGACTGCCGGCGAGAAGGCTCTGTAGTCCTTCTGTTGCCAGTGACTATCACTTTCTCGCTCGCTCACAATGATCTTTCGTAGCCATTTCACTTGTCGGGCGCCAACGTTTCCTACAAAATATCTGTTGAAACGAGTTTTGCCATAAAAATGTGTATGCACCTGGAACAATGGCACGAAGGGGAGCACCATGATCTCTGGGGATATCCACCCCGTTCATGTGATACGCCACAATGCACTCATTCTCTCTCGCCTTCTCCATTGGTATGGAAGCCCCGTAAGGAGTTCCGGTGGGATCCACGTCAGCTCCTTCGAAGTGAACGTGCTTGATATTCTCGTCAAACACGTCAATACCAGCTTCCTTGAGCAGATCCTACATACAATATGTTTAGAGAATTACTATGTATTATTGTTCAAAATTCACATACCCTGAGCCTGACTCCCGTCCATTCAGCGTTACTGATAGCTGTGCCTTCCCACATCAATCCTTGCACTTTTTTGTATTGATGCATATCAGCCCTTCTGTTTCCAGCGCATTGAATCACACTTCCGATTGTGTACGCTTTATATTTTTTCTTCAGTTCATCCACCGACAAATCGATAGTGTTTCCATTCAGAGTTTGGACAGTCAGTACGTGTTCATCTGATTTGATCTGAAAGTTGTAAATGTTTTCCCTTTTTGTTGTTTCGTTTCGTTTTCACATACATCTGGGACTGGGAGATGATTTCGGACAAAGAACAGTTCATTGGGTGTGTAAAAGTGATCGGTAAGAAGGGATGGCGGCGATTCGGCGTTGAACGGCTTCGCATTACGCACCAATAGAGCGGGATGACGTTCCGGATCATTTGAAAATGCGTCCGGTTCCGCCTGTAAACAAGCAAACAAAGGTAACGACATTGGGAGAGGATGATTCGGTGGATATGGAAGCGTATGTACGCGTTTCGGTTTCTGACTCACAAAACCGAAAGGATCACTATTGTCCTGTAAAGTTCATCAGCATTTGTTCAACTAGAGATATTTTAATGTTGGAAAAAAGACAATGATTCTGTCAAAACTTTGCTGTGTGCAGGCTCTAATTTAACTTCTGAGTAAATCCACTCCAAGTCCAATTGTTCGTTGTTTTTGTTTAGAATATCAAAATGCAACAAGGTCTAGTTTCAATGCAACTAGTTTTTGTTGAAATTCCCACTTAGTTGCCACCGTAACATTGCAGAGCACTCACTTTTGGCACATCTTTCACATCCAATCGACCAATTCGATAACCTTCCAGAATCTCGAGCACTTCTGCGGTTTTATGCTGCGAGTATAGTGCCCAGAACGGGTCAACCGCTGCTCCGGCGGCCAGAAGAATTTTATCTCCTCCCGGATGCATTGCGACAAAGTCCGTCACATCGTAGACACCCTAAAATAGTTCATCAACCACTGGAAAATGCAAAGACCAACATCTTTGTACGTAACCCAGATCCGTTCGGCGTTTCTTCCGTGTTGTTTCACATCATCCTGCTTGTACATTGGGAGATCTTCTAATTTTGTGATTGGCTTCTCTTTTTCATCGTCCTGCACATGCTCTGCTTTTGCTGTTTTTATAAATTGCTGATATCCGAGAAGACCTGCTGTCGTGGCGCCTCCGATATATGCATATTTGTCTGGAAACGAGTGGTTTTCTTAGAACATTCAATCTGAGCAACTTACAGTAATAATTTTTATCATCATGCTTGTGCTCGTATTCAAATCCAGTCTGAATCAGGCGGGTGAATCGTTTTTGTTTGAAAAACTGGCTTGTGGCTCTACCGAGCATTCTGAAAAGTTGTTTTACTCATCCGCCTATGCTTTTTTTATGCGGTAAAATGAGGTCGCATGTACCGAAAGAGGTAATTTCTATCTTGGAAAATACGATTCATGACAGGAAATGAAAAAAATAAGACAACTACCAAGTTTCTTTTAACACATAAAACCAAAAATTGAAGAGGAAATCAAAACCCGACTAGACTTATTAAAATTATTGGAAATTGGGCGAGGAGAAGGATGAAGGATGAGGATGTATGACTAAATTTGTCCTGGTCTAGATCTGGACAATTGAATATATTGAACGATTGGTCGGGAAAATAATAGTCACGTGGTTGTTAACAATCAAAAATCAGGCGAAAAATCAGGCGTAGGGAAGAGAGGGGAGGGCAGGTTTGGCCGTCCGTTTCGATGAAATGCGGTCAGTATCGACCGCACAACATTGCAACGGCGACATGAGATAAGGATCTTGACTCAGCCATACATCAGGGTCGCCTACAAACTCGAAAAAGAGAAAATTTATCCATTTTACTGATGGGCAGTCAAATCGCAGATGATTTGCGCAAACGCCGCGTGGACAACGTCTGGAGAGGAGACGAAACACACACGGTCCGGGTCGCCGACTATTCCGGTGATAGTCTCTTTAAGCTTTTTGGAGACATCGACGAATAGAGCGCGCACTTGCTGAAATCATCAAAGTCACGTATGTTTTGTGATAACCGCCTTAAACTAACCTCTGGATTCTCGTTTGCCGCTCTTTGCAACATTGGCACGTCGCTGGCGGTGTCGCCGGCCACGCATACTTTTCCGATTTTTAGCGAATCGTGAAGAGATTCCACAAGAGCACTCACACCGTCTCCTTTGTTCCAAACCGTTCCTGTAAAACCGATTTTTACATGAAGAACATGTGAAGCATCTGGAAATCTTACCCGATGAATGAACACAAACTTCGATTTCCAGTGGCGAGCAGTTTTCAAGCACCAGGTACTGACTGTTTGGGTCGACACGATGAATACGCTCTTTGACAGCGTCAATGTATCTGGCGGATAGTTCTGGAGGAACCTGACCGAAAACAGTCTGAACTCCAAGCGTCAGTCTGTCCACTTTCCGCTGCACTCCACTGCCGACAAGGGCGAACTGCACGAACTCTCCTTCGCCAAGAATTTCCTCGAGTTGTTCGTACAGTTGTCCGATGGCGACACTTCCCTCTTCCGGGATTCCGTCGTCATGGACCACTCGACGTCCACCGAGCCACCACTCGCGGCCCCAGGATCCACTGAACAGGACCGGACCATTGATGGGAAGAGCTGTGAGATCGAGAATTCCTGGGTGGCGGAGAGGTCCGGCAGTGAGTACGGCGAACACGCGGGTGAAGAAACGGGCAAAGACACCCATCACGACGGCACTGTAGGCAGGCTGAAAAAGGGATGTTCTCAACTCACTACAATGTCTTGGTGCAGTAAGTTGGCTCGAGCCCTTTCTTTCTGATGTTCAAGGGTTTTCTTTGAATCCCAGCTACTTGACTCTGTTATTTGCCCCTTTATGTACGTACCTGAAGGTTAGTAGCATACTGTGAGCAGTAATCTTTCATCGTTCCATCCCAATCAGTGATGAACAACGGTTTGATCCCGTCCGTTGAACTGGTGTCGATCAAATCCAGAAGAAAACTGAAAAACGGATCAAAACGTTAAAGATGAAAGTTCACATCCAAAACCATTTGCAGTTTTTGACTTCTTCGATGAATTTACTGCCAAGGGCATAGGAAGAAAGAAGGCCAGGCAGATCACAGAGTTTCAACTTGGCGGCGAGTGTTTCCTCGGGCTCTGTCTTGTTAGCGAACAGATCCAGAAAACGGCGATCTTTCTGAAAACCGTTTTTTCCAAACTTTTTGTGATGAAACTCTACTCACCTCTAATCCCTTAATCTCATCCTGAATGTTTATACCAAAAGTGGTTCCTCTTGAATGAATATCGCGAATATGAGAATGAGAAGTGCGTTCATCGCACATTTCCTTGAGTGTCTGCCGGAAAATCTGCACTTTCTCCGCTTCCACATGTCCAGTCTCGAGTATTTCATTGGTCACTGCTTTTCGAGCCTCTTGCATTTGATACAAACATTCCTTGAAATCCTCGATAGACTGACTCGCGAGCGTCATTTTCTGCTCTGAATTTGAATCGATTGTGTACATAGAATATGGTGGGAGAGGTATAATAGTCTTAGAGTCTAGTTTTTTGATTCTGATCAAAACTGATAAGAAATAGGGAAAGAATAGAAAGCGACCAGCTGGAAATGTGTGTGGCTTTGTTCAACACGTGATCGTTATTGTAGTAGTACGTATGAGGTTTTAGGCCAATGTGACATAAGCTTTAAGGCGAAAGAGCAATTTTTGGGATAAACAACTGATCGATACGTGCCAAACAGCCAGCAGAAAGAGTTTCACATAGGTCAACAGGTGACGAAGACGAGGAATGGAGGAAGTTTGTCCAACTACACGTCACTTCTTTTCGTCCAACTAGATTTCGATTTTTATAATAATGGGTAGGGTTATTAAAAATGCATCATTTGACCAATTATATATAACACGTGACACTATAATTACCTGTTGTTCCGTTCATGTTCAGTCCCGACCGAACTGGAGCCCAGTACGGCCCCGGCGGAAAACAAAATTTGAAGCGGAAATGTGACCTGAAAATCGATAGAACCATATAATTGGATTGGTTTGAAGGAAGCGTGAAAAGGCGATAGATAAACAAGATCTCCGACAGACTTGCTAGCCCCAACACAATTAGGTACGGCCGATGAAAGTTGCGAAAAAGAGAGAGAGAGAAAGAGATGATATGTGTCAATCCGCCGATAAAAGATAACAAATGAAAAATCAATAATGATGGCGAGACGTCACAAGAATGGGAAGAGGACCACGTTTCTGTTTGTTTGCGTTCTGTTCACTGTTGCCAAAACGCAGACATATCGCCTGAGAAGAAAACGAAAGACGAAAGAGAAAAGGGGAGAGGAGCGTGCGTTGGGTGCGGTTTGCACGCAAAGTGTGCCTAATGATCGGGGGTTGACGCGATCGCGGTGTTTTTTTGAGAGAGCTCAAAACGGAGCAGTCAGACATGTTCTGGAAGTCGGAGAAGAAATGTTTATAAATGGATTCCCCATGAAATAGAGGCTATTTATATAAGAATATTTGGTGCAGAAATTACAGAATTTAGAGTATTTCTTCCGGTTTTCCGCTGAAAATCATTTATAGACATGGTTTCTGAGAGTCAGACTCTTTTTAGAGTTTGTGAAAAATATGTGGTCTATCTTCAGCTAATGACAGTTATTTTTGTTGAGAATAATACGATTAGAACACTCTGTCACTTTTTTAGCGTTTCTGGTCACACTTAACGATTTTTCACTAGAAACAGCTGCGAGAGCAGAGATTCAGAGCATTGAATCAACTTGAAAGACATAATTGAGCAATAAAGTGTTCAGCTCGCTCTACACCAGAATCCAGAAAAATTTTCATTTTTCTTCATAGGGTGGAAACGAATACACAAAAACAGGAGAGCGAAACCGAAACGAAAACATTATTATTAAAGTAATTGAGCGCTGAGATCGTAGAAACAAAAACGCGAGGCGAGCGGCCGGCCGACACGAAAAATGGCACACAACACACTGACGGAAGGCTGGTCATTTCAACACTGCAGTGCGTCGATGAGTCGCTGCTCTTTCTTTCCAAAGAAAACATGATCGCTTGTTCCGCCAATCGACAATAGCACGTTTCTGAAGGTATTCATAGATCCATTCTGTTTTAATGAGTTTGTTTTGGGAGCACTCACTTCACCACTGGGAAATATCTTCCTGTTGCATAAGTTTCTGATCCAACAACTGTTCTGAAAATGGATTCCTTCATAATTTTCGGATATTTATGTGATGTACCTGAGTGCTTCAGACTGGTGCAGGACATCATCGAATGAGAATCCGTCAGTGACCACTACGACTTGAACGTTTCGAGCTTTTTGGAGAACATATTGGGTTGTCACAGAGATTGCCGCTCCAGCAGCGGTGACTCCTCGCAAGAATCTAGCTTCTGAAAAGATAAATTTATACATATTTCTTCCTGGTGTCATAATGTCTTTCTTTTCTCTCTTCCCTTGGGAAACCATTTTTCTCGAAATCTTCAAACAAATCCCTGGTTGTGAAACATTCTGGACCCCTGCCTTTTACCCCAACCAACTTCTTAATTTTTCCGTAAAATTGTTGCTATTCGGCTCTTCAGGCAGCGGAACCACTATCTTTTGCCGCGTTCGTCCGGCGAATGTGATCAAGGCCAACTGAAAGATCAACAAATGTTAACGGGACCGACTGAACACAAAAACTAACACGACGCGGATGCTGCACTTCCAACTGGCTTACAATCTCCTCAATATACTTTTTCTGCTTCTCATATTGCTGCACCACATTTCCGCTAGAGTCCAAAAGGAAAAGAATGTCCTTGCATTCTGAAACTCGATTGGTTGCTAACAATGGTGTAACGTTTGTTTCACACCTACCTTTTGTGGTCGGACGCGACTTTGTTTCAAGTTTCTCCACTTGTGTCGCTTCATCCCGAGAAGTATCATTTGGCGTTGATGTGGATAATGAGATGGTTGTGGTTGAGGTTGTAGTAGTGGAAGTTGGAATAGAAGTAGAAGTTGAAGTTGAAGACGTGATTGGTTCAGTTACGGGTTCTGATGAAGAGGTAGATGATGATGATGATGACTCAGTTGTTGCTGTTGAAGTCGAAGAAGTCGTTGATGATTCAGAATCTATTGTTGTAGCGGTAGTAAATGCCATTCTTGGTGTTGTCATCGTCTCATTCACTGATTCTTGAGACGATTCCAGTGTGGACATCAACTCCGGTTCGTTGTCACCACTTCCCTCCCCATGGAAGTTGACACGAAGCACTTCTTCCGAGTCACTGATGTTCTCCACCTTTGTGATGTCTTCAAAAACTGGCGACAGAATTTTCAGAACAATTTTCTCTTGTTCAGAAGAAGTTGTAGACGTGACCGCCACAGTCATAAGTTCATCAGTATTTGAAGGAGTTGTAGCATTAGCATTACTCTGGGAGACCCCGGAAGCCTCTTCCTCGGCACTAGACGGGAGTCCCGATGATTCGAGAACTTGTGGTACTTGTGGTGGCGGTGGAGATGGCGGATGAGGTCCATTAGGCGGGGTGTCACTAGCCGGAGAGGTTCCAGGAGGCATTGGTAAGGAATTTGTGGGGGCTGCGGGAGTAGTTGTCCTCGGACTAGTGCCAGGAGATTGATGAGGTCTAGCAGTTCGGAAATGTGAAATATCAACCCCTGGCATCTTCCAGGGTGGCATTACAGTCGGTAAATTACTTGGATACCAACGTTCTGCGATAAAACTTTCAGGAGGGACAATTCCAGGTGCGCCGAAGCCTAAAACAGAAAGGTTTTCAATGATGACAAAGGAACATACCTGATACCGTAACCCATAGGGCATTGCATAACAAAACCAATGGTGAAAACATGAAATGTCGGAATTCTGAAAGGAAATTAAATCAGAAAACTTTCTGATGACGTCTGAACTGAACAAACAAGGAGTGAAAACGAGGAAAGCAGGGAGTGACCACTAACCATTAAAATTTGTATAAAATGTTGCTAATCAGACAAGTTTTTTTTCCAAATAACGTTTTTAAACCCTCTTAGTGGCCGACCTGACCTAATTTGGAGGAACGCGATGAGGTTTGGAATTTAGAAACTAACTATATTTCTCAAAGGAGTGGACAAAACTTTTCGCCAATGGCGGAAATGGGAAGAAATCATGGAAGTGTGAAAGTGGGCGAAGTTATGGTTTGTTGCGTAACAGAAAGGGAGGAAGACTTCTGAATGTAAAAAATTAAGGGGGAGTGATGGGTAGGAAAAGAAATAAAGTAAGAAGGGATCGGAAAGGAGCGGAAAGAACAAACAAATAATGATATAATGGATTGTTCTTCGAAAGGAAGGGGAAGCATTGCATCTCGTTAGGGGCGATCATGCTTGTTTCATTTGATATGAGCCTTATCGCAGGAAGCAGACACATACAGAAAGAGGAACAGGAACAACTCCTATTGTGTCGTCGTGGAGAGAGACGAAAAAGAGGCGGAGGGGCACGCAAGCAATGCAAACGAAACGAGAAATGATGATTCTGCCACACCACCTTTGGAAGAAGAGAGAACCTATTGGGCAACGAATTTTCAAGGAGACAAGCGGGAGAAGCTGAGGAGGGGGCAGTATCGATGATAATGATAATGCTAATGATAAGCTTAGCCGTTTTTGTTTTGCTGTGTGGGCGATGCGTTACGCAATGATAGGTGCTATAGACAATCAGGTAGATCGCCTACGAAAGATAAGTTACACCCTTTTATTGGTTCTGTTTTGGTCAGAAGAGGAAGTCCCGAAGAACTGCATTTGAACTACTGATTTGAAAATATTTTAGACTAGAAACACTCCGAAATTTACGAGTTTGCTGTACTAGTACAAAAATATCATTAAAATGCTAACAATCAGGACTGACTGATCTTTCGGAAAATACATAGTCAAATGAACATGCGCGCGCATCTTTATGCTCATCCGGAAGTTGTTCATCGGCAAGTGCTCCTCATAGAGGATAAAGATAAAGATAAACAATAGTTAAGAGGTGGACACTTGAGAACATTCAGGAATGACCACAACGACGAAGCATGGGAACGGTTAATATTCATGAAGAATCAAGTCAAGCATTAAGGTGCAACATAATGAGTGCTACAAAACAAAACAAACATGTTTTGATTTGAAACAAACGCCCTGGGTTTGCGTCTTCCTTGCAAGCTTCTTCTTCTTCTCTTCCTTTCCCACCCACCCTTCTTCCTTATGTGACACATGGCGTCAACTTGATTCATTCTGAATTTCAAGTGAGGTAATGATCAAAGTTCATGTATACAATTCACTGAATTCCAAATAATGAAAGATTAAGAAATACAGCAAGTCTTCGAGTTTTTCTGGGTGTTCTTGTTGATAACATCATCCACATATCCTTCGCGCAGCTCATGGTACCCATCGATACTATTGCAGTTCTCATCTAAATATTTCAAATTCTTTTGTCACACCCTTTTCAAACCTCGTCTGCGGTCAATGATCTCCCAAATCGACCTTTTGTAGCTGCGCAACAAGAAATACGTATTCATCTCTCCTTTTCCCTTGATCTGAACCCGTCCACGTGGTTCAAATTCAAATCTTCCGGTGCTTTCGGCGCATTTTTTCGCGTTTTCAGAACAATGAATTCGCCCAATTGGACTATGACTTTCCATTCGAGAAGCGGTGTTCACAGTATCACCAAATAGACAATATCTGAATAATAAGAGTGAGTCACCGATCAAGATTTCTGTCAAACCGAGGCATTTTTGCGCCGACGACACCCGCCACAACAGGCCCCGAGTGAATTCCAGCGCGAATGTGAAGGGGTGTACTGGTGATTGGGTCACACACGGTACGGGCTTCCATCACCATGCCCAAAGCTAGATGGCAAATTACTTCGCAATGCTCCAATACCGAATCAGGGATTCCTCCGACGGACATGTAACTATCACCGACCGTTTCGACTTTATACGCTCTTTGAAGACCAATCAAACGGTCAAACTTGGTGAAGAGCTCATTGAGCAAATGGACAATATCTCGCGGTTGACAGAGTGGAACGATTTGTTGGAAAGTTGGCACGTCGGTGAACATCACGGTGGCTTCTTCGTATTCTCCTGTAAATATTGAACACAAACTGATTAATTTCAAAGAGCTGTCCGCACTTGCATCCACACTGAGACCCTGCTTCAGCTGTTGAGCTACCGAAGGTGGGAGCATTTCTCGGAGTAGTGCGTCTGTTTTTCCCTTTTCCACTTCCAGGTCTTTTGCCAGATTTTCAAGTTGCTCGTTGTTGGCTTCTAGTTGCAAACTATAGAAAGAAGTCTCTACTGCAAATCAAATTCTCAGGATTTCACTCCACTCACTTCATCTCGACATCCGATAATCTCTGCTGGTTCAGGAGGATCAAATCGCGAGTGGCGTCATGTAAAGGCATGGCTGTAAGGCGAAGCCCATATTGCAAAAGCTCAGGAATAGATGTAACGTATGGAGAGCACAAGTACATAATATGATTTCCAGATGTCATTAACATCATCTGGCCTTTCAGCTTTAAGTGCTGGCTTTGAGACAACTGCGAGATCGCGCCATTACTTTCCTCCATAGCCATTCTAAAAACAAGTGACTAGGTTAATTAAGGTTTTTGCGAATTCGCACTCCGACCCATCAGTTACTTGGCTTGCCCGTTTATTTGCATTGCGCTGGAATTCCATAGGCGTGGTTTTCACCTAAAGTTGAGAAGTATTGAAAAAATCGCGGGATTTGCCAATTGACCTGCAAGACAAAAACAGCGTTGATGAAATTGCAAATACTGTCAAAATCCAGAGGAATCTGCGGACGAGTCACTTCAAAAATACGCATAAGAGGAGTTCCAACTGCTAGAAGATCACGTGGAATGTGATTACTAAATTGTACAATTAATTATCATTATCTGTACAATTGTCAGAGTTACTAGAGCTCTCTTCCAACTTGAATTATTTTGCAATCTTGGTCAACGACCATATGGTACGGGAAAGTGGAAACAAAGTCCAAATGGGTCAATCGAATCTTATAGTTATTAGTGTGCTGGACCAACGCAGTTCCAAGCGCGTCTTCATTAGATTGGTCGGTGTTTTGAGTCTGGAACATGGTAATGTATCATTGTAGAAACATAAAAAGAGCAATACTTTGATTAGAAAGATGACATGTTCTTCAATCCTTTCACCGGTTGCCATTTGGACACTGCGTTGAGTTCTTCCTTGAAAAGGATGCTTTTTCCTGAAAAATTATGTGTTTCATACCTGTGATAGACATGGACACATCCAGCTTGAAAACGCGCTTAGCAGCTTCACGAAGAACTCCCTTGACGATAGGATAGAGACCCGGTCTGCCGGTGTAATAGTGCAAGGTGATAGTTCCATCTGGATTATCTTCACATCTGTACCAAAATAAAAGAATTTCTCTCAATTCATAAGTACTGGGTCCAACCTGAAAGATGGCCCACGTAAATTGGCCTTGTACACAACGTGATCAATGAAATAATGGAGAGAATCCAGGTTGTCGAGAAAACCTTTCAAGTTCGGACTCATTGACCGGATGAGGTCATCCCACCCGGTTTCCATAGTGTACTGAATCAAAAAGCATCCGTACATCTCCCAAACTTGCTCACGTGATACTTCTGAACAAAAAAAATTTTTCTAGAGAGTTAGGAGGAGGATATAACTCAAGAGAACGCTGACTGCATCTATTAAAGTGTAAGTGTCCTGATCCGAGTAGTAATGGTTAATTATATTCTCTTTTCCTGCCTCGAACCCAGCACGTTCCCTACAAAAGTTTAAAAAATGTATGGGATACAATAGTAATAATTAAGGAAACGCACAATACTTTCGCCCAAAATGCTTCTCCATAGGTTCGAATCATCAATTGACGAACCGATTCGTGAATGAAACCGAACTGAATTAAATTCAAGCGAAACTATAATACCATTAGCACTTACCATTATGTTATTACGGCCTTTGTTCCAAATCTATCCTTTATAGAAAGAAAAGTGTGAGAAAGGAAGAAGGAATGCTAGGAAGTACCTGACAACTTCGTAACGGCAAATGGGGAAAGGGGGATGTTGGCACGGAAAGAGGGAAGACGACTCCTGCTCAGGGTCAGGTCTCATAACTTATTAACCGGCACGCAATACCGGTGATCAGCCATACTTTATTATTTCGTGCAAGCATGTCATCAAAACATGTCGTGCCCAAAACCTTCCGAGTGGTGAAAGACGTTGGGAATCATTGGGGTCTATGACGACACTGCACTATACTGAACGAATATGACCCATAGAAGTAATTTAGACAGTTGAAGCAACCTGGCAACCAGTCACAGTCCGGGTAAAGGCGCTCAACTCAAAACACCTATGGCAATAGTGGCGTTGGTACAAGTCGATGCACCATAAATACAGAATTTGCAGTTGATACACCGTTTCAACTTTCTTGATAAATCACTTCGTTTCCATCAAAAATCATGCAGAGCCTAAAAAGCATGGCAGAGTACACAGTCAGTATTATCATGACTCACGGCAATTTGCATGAAATGATTTATGGAAATTTTTCCGAATGAAACTTGACCAAACAAGTTGTTGTAAACGAGGAAGAGTCGTGGCAAAAAATACTGTTAACTTGTGCGATGCAAACCACCTCTTCTCTCTCCGCATCATTTTCGGTTTGAATATTATTATTATGCGATTAAGGCGAGGAAGCGAGCGGTCTGTTGTTCATGCCATCCCATTCGATTCAATTCTATTCAACATACCTTCTCAATAAACTTTTTGAATCGCCTGCTTTCACATTGAAACCCATCTTTTTCTATAAAACTACTTTATTTTTAGACTTGTTTCTCTGGAATGGGCCAAAAAACATCGAAAAACGAGAAGGTTGAGAACCATGTTGCGTTTCCCAGCATAACTGACCTGCCAAACATTACAATTACTCAGCCGACACCAATCTACCAACCAGATAGCCCTAATCCGTTCACCGTTCCACCACCAACACCGAGAGATTCTCACAGGCTAGTCGACTGCTAAAATGCTCTCATGCAATGTTACTTTTAGCTTGAAATCGTTCATTGAAGAAACACCGATATTATTGAATTCTGAGAGTCATTCCAATTCAAGTAGTCCTCCCAGATCCACCCCTCCACCCCCTCCAAGCATCCCTCCACCAGCGGAGCCTGTCAAAAACGCAGATTTTCATGATGAAGAGACCAGAGTAAGTGAAATTGAAGAAACGTTTCAAAGATATTATGTATATTCAGAAAAACTTTGGAGCAACTGTATTGGAACGTGGTAGTCCACTTCCACCGAAACCTGACGAGAAAACGTATGCAGCGCCGATTATAAAGCGACCGATTTATTTTGCAAAAAATAAAATTGCACTCTATGAGTCATTGAACACGAGGGACCGAGAACCATCAAATGCGATTGTGAATATGGCACCGGCGCCGAAGAAAAAAGAAGAGTTGGCGTATGCTGTGGGGACACCGCGAGTCAATTTCAGCAGTTCACCAGTAGTAGAGCGGAAAAAGAGAACAAATTCGGACAATGCATCTGTTTCTTCTATAAAAGTGAGTCCATCTCTAAAGAAACCCTTTCTTGTGCAAAGTTCGAGGGCCGGACTTTGATTTTTAACATTTAACTTTAGAGAAATAAATTTCAGACCACTGATGACTACCCCATTTACAATGTGATATCGGATTACACCTACAGTTCTGGAAAAACGTTTCACAGTGGCGCATTTCCAATTGACGTAAATCGGAAAAATTTTGGTTTTTGTGGACGCAGTGGATCAGGAAAGTCGTCTCTGATTAACGCGCTCCGGGGACTCAACAATGGTGATCCTCAATCGGCGGGAAGAAGTCGTTGTGATCGAATGGAACCTTTCCGTTTTATAGAAGGAAATCTTCAGCAAACAGTTCTGTGGGAAGTTCCGTATCCACGAACATTCTCCTCGTCCAGTGTCGTATTCGATGTTAATATGGGATTTGATAAGTTTTACGAGTGAGTTGATGATAATAGTTGATGCATACTGAAATCACACATACTGAAAGTTTAAGGAGTCACAAACTAAAATTGTTCAAAAGATTATTCATTCTGATCCCCGATGGAGCACCTACTGATGAAGACATTACATTTGCAAGAGTTGCGATGTCCCGGAGAACTGCAATAACTTTCCTTTTGACTAAAAGTGACGAGGACTTGGATGCAGAGAACAGAGAAAACGGGACCAAATTGGACCAATTAATGAAAAGGTCTTACGAAACTTCTGCAAGACTCGTCTTCTCCCGCTACCTCCTTACCAAAGCCCAAATTCTGAACGATGTGGAGTTGCTATTTTTAAACGCGCCCACAACCAGGAACTTAGTCAGCGGAACAGTTGGCTACTTGCATTATTTGATGAATGAGGAAAGGCTTCTCGAATTGTTGGATCTCAATACTGGCTGTCATTATGATTTAGAAGTGAAACTCCGGAAAGGAAGAGACAGGCTTGCCGATATGACCAAGCAGCCGGTAGTGGATATTGAAACTTATAGAATTGTGAGCAAGCACTTTCGAATTTTGCATCTTTATTGAGACTTCAAGATCCCAAATTCATTTAATAATTTATTCAAATCACTTTTTAGGAAGAGAATGAGTCTCCTAAAGTTCAAGCTTATGCAATTAGCAGGCCGACAATATTAGCTGATGCTGGTTTTGAAATTTCTTTCGGAACTGATGATAGAATTTATCAATCCCTGGAGCCTAAGACCATGATTCGAAGAGCAGGAAAGACGTGTTTCAATTATGGTTTCATTGGTGGCAAAGGCGTCGGAAAATCATCGTTGATTGATGCCATGAGAGGAATGTCTTCCAAGAATCCATTATCTGCTACTAAACTTAATGTATGTAAACGTTTTTCCGAGAAAGAAATGTACATTTTTTTAATTCAGAATCGGTCAAAGAATGGTAGTTGTGAGAAATTTGAGTTCGATGACACTGTTTTGAAATACAGTGTAACTTTGTACGAGTTATCATATCCCAAGAAGATAAGCTCATATTTTGAATTCATTGAGTGAGTGCGGGGGAAGTCAAAGACTAATTCGATTAGTCACAAATTAAAATCAACGTTCATTTAGTACGTATAATGTCGCTTCTTTCACTGCGCTCTTCATCTTAGTCGATCAAACACCAAGTGAGCAAGATTTAGCATTTGCCAAAATCGCCTATCGCCGAAATACTACGGTACATACAAACAATTGTTTACGAAAATATCAATATATTCGTTCCAGATCCTATTCCTCATATCAAAATGCGACAAAAAGTTAGCTTCTAGAAGTCGGAGTGATGAAATTCCGGTGTGTGATTTGTTAAAGCAACGATATATCGATAAGGCTTTGAATAAGTTTGATAATATTATGAGCGAAAAGGCTGCGGAACTTCGTGGAAGGGTCAGTGTGTTCTTTGTATCTGCACCAGTGTTCAAGGCACTCAGAATGGGTGAGATTTTTGGTTTTTTTTTGTTAAAGTGGCAACTTTATATCATAAAACCACAATTATGATTTAGGAGATCCCCGAGAGAGTCAATTTGTGCTCCACGAGAGGGCAATGTTCGACTTCCTCAAGTCGCGAAGGATGATTGCTGACATGTTAGATGATCCACCTGGAGAAGGATCCTACGCTCAAATTAACCTGGAAACGGCAGGAATTCACTAGGATATCGTAATATATTGTCTGTGTTTCCCAAGACAAACCCTTTTCTTTCACTTTTTTTTTTCATATTTTGCTTTGTTCTACATATGAATTTTCTCAAAAACAAGTTTATTATGACTAGGAGAAGCAAACGATTCAATATGAATTGGAATGGAAAAATGCAAGCTCAAAGGTTCAAAGGTTCAAAGTTATGTAAAAACTAAGCGGAAAACTAACTACCAGAAGTTTTCTCAGAAGACAAAACCCGATGATCAATAGAAATTCATAGAAAAGAACTAGGAAGAGACTTGTGCTACCATCGCCGACAACTGCGTGTTTCTCTTTAGGGCCGCACGGAGAAGTGAACTTTTCCGCTTGATGTACAATTGGTTGTCTATTTCGGTACTACACTGGGTTGAGCAATCGCATGTTGCATCTGAAATTAAAACAAACATTCGTGATCTACAATATCATATCGGTTTCTGAGTATGCACCTGTATTTCTGATACGCATTGGAGATCCATGACCTTCGACAATGATTGCAAGATCAGCTAGGAACGGGTCAAACGGAACATCTGTTGGAACATTATCATCGAACACGTCTGGATTACATTGGACGGCCTGAAAAGTGAATAAATTCTGAAAAAAATCATTGAAGCCTTTTCTATGGGAATACATTTTGCATCTAGTAAAGAAAAATGGTTTCAGAGTTAGTTGTGTTGATTGGAAAATAAATGAAACTGCAATCAAGTCCAAACGTGGGAGAAGAAGTCTAACTGAGGAGTCAGAAAAAGGAAACATTTTTCGAGTGAGTGTACAACAGTGGTTATTGTAGGTTATCAGATACATGCGCTAATGACGGACAACACAGCAATGAATGATCCGGTGTTAGTATACCTTAACACGACATATCGCCTATTTCACAAGTTTCGAGTGCCTGAAATCATGTTTGTGGCTGGTTTCCGTGCTGACAGAGTTAAAACAGAGATGTTGTTGGGGATTACGGTACATCTTGCATTCTTGTTTGTGTGCGTTATGGATATAATCTGAATTCACCGAATTGTTTAAGCCTACCTTGTCTTTTTTGCTCTTTTCTTCTGGAATGCTAGAGATTAGGGTGCCGTTCGCTGAACACAAGACAACAGATTGGCTGCAAAAGTAATATGTCTTTCACTTAATGATAAGGGAAGTGTTACCGTTTATCGTCACTGTGTTCATTAATTCCTTGCACAAGCGCCAAGGTCGTTGAGTTGTCCTTATCCCTGATCGCGTGGGTGAGCATCTTACCGGTGAACATTTGACGAACCACGTCACGGAACTGTTGAGACATTCCGCAGTAGATGGCGAACCGGAATGGGTAGGACACGACTATGAGGACATTTCTGAAAAGAAGCGGTCCCTGCGTGTGAAGAATTGGACAATATTTGATCATTCGACAAGGATTATGCAGGAAAATATTCCCGGAATGGGTGTGGTCGCACAAAAATTATTGTTAACTACAAGAAACGAGTACTTCAACGAGCATACATTATATACATGATTTCAGAGAATTGGGATTTTTCCCCAGTACAATAGCGTGTAACTAACCTGACAATTAGCAGAATGTTCAAAAACTGATAGTCAACAAAGCTGAACTTGAGCGAAACCGACAGAACATGAATCGTAAAGATTAGCGCGGCTGGAATTTCGGTGATCAAGAACAGCAAGATCACAACGACCAGCATTCGAGTGTTCTGTAAGTACACACAGTAAACTCTAATTCAATTTCTTCAAAGAGTTCGAGTACCTGCTTCAATCCGTGCGCTCTTCGCGGTTCGTTACCCACGCTGACGCTGTCCCTCTGCTTGAATAAGCGAATTAGCTTGTTCTCTGTTTCTGACGAGTTCGTCAGCTCGGAGAACTTTCGGCGCGTGGAACGAGTGTTTGTGGAGTACTTGGAGAGCAGATTGGCGTGACGGCGGTCCGCTACTCGGATGGCTCCGACTAGTTTCCATGTGAATATCACAAGAAGGACTGATGGGATGAGATGGACAAAGATGGTTTGTGTGGAGAACATCATTTTATAGTAGATGTCCTCGCCCATCCGAGCCATAAACGGGGATCGATGACGATAGCAAAGCGTGAGAGTTCCTGGTAACAAAAACAAAATAATGGCAATGACAACATCTATTTACGGTTTCGATGGTTGTCATACACATCGTGGCTCTCGTTGTGGAACGCAAACAAATCCGGCGTGTAGATGATGGTGGCGACAGAAATGATGAAAAATATAACCTGAATTGAAATTTTTTTTGAAAACACCAACAATATGAGCAACAATGCAAAAATCTGCTCACTTGTTTGCTGCGATGAATAGTGCAAAATTTGCGGACTAGGGATGGGACACATATGTAGATGTATCTTTGGATGGCCAAGTACACTGTCAGCCAGATTGCCATTGTATGAAAGATGGATGGTAGGAACGCGGCCATGTACGGAATCATATTGCACCAGAAACTAGGCAGTCCGGTTTGCAAGTCCTTTTTGTATCCTGAAAAATGAAAAATGTTCGCAGTTTTCTGTGACTCTTAAGAAAAGCAGCGGAAGTTCCACCGGAAAGGCACAAAAGTTTCAAAGGTCATTTGTTCAGTCAGTTCTGAAGTCTAGACTTACCTGAAAGTGTATAATAGTAGGTGAACCATGGAATACAAGATAATCCAGTCAACAGTTCCGTGACCGCCATCGCTAAAAGCACATAGTTGGTGGGCGTTCGTAAGTACTTGTGCGAAAGCACAACCACGATAAAACTGTTGGTGGCTATGGTAAGTGTGACGATGAACGGCATCATGTACCCGTACATCGGAACGGCCCAATCCACAGGAACCTTTAAAGATAATTTGATTTGGAAGCAGAAAAGTTCTCTTTTTTGTTTCTCTCGGGTGTGTCAAACAATTTTGTACAAAGCTTTCTTGCGTCACCTAATCGGATTTAAGTCTGAGTCCATTTGTTCGTGTGTTCCGTAACTAAATTTGACGATCACCATCCGAAATGAACAAAAAAAACAAATGTCCTTTCTATTTCTCTCCATCTCTCTCTCTCTCTTCTCTCCTTCTCGCTTGTGTTCCCTCAAGCTCAGTAGATCAACAATTATTGTTTTTGACATACCATATTCCCAACAAATACCGGACGACATGACACGTTGCGAACACACGGCGGATGGCTGATAGTCATGAAAACCGGCGGTAGAATTTAAAAAAGTTTCCTCTAATGTCTTGGGGAGGTGTGTGATGTGATGAGATGGAAATAGCCACGAAACAACACCTGGAAATGGAGAGTAGACGTTTCTCGATTTAGTTCTTTTCTTGCGAAAATATTTTATGAATGAGGTTAAAAATAAGACAGAAGAGAAAGAAATGATGTGGGTGGCCGAATAACAAGATCATTACTCTCATAGACAGTTTGGTGCCAAACTTCACACCTGTCTGCTGAGACGTGTTGAATTCAGCGTTAGATTTCAAAAAAATACGTATTCGATGAACGGTTTTAGGCGGTGAAAGTAAACCGTTTCAGCGCAAGACCAGTTGCGAAGTGACCAGGTATGAAACCTGCGACTCTTCATAGCCATGACAGGAAGGAAGTAAAATTGGCATGAAAAATTTATGCGCAGTTCAGGAAAACAAATAAAAGGAGACCGGAAGAACGGACGAACGTATTTTGCTCACTTCATACTCCACATTCACACTCACGCTCAGATTGAGATGCGTTTTTATGAACACCTCACCAACAAAGGAACACGCACAATGGAAGAATGGATTCCACCACCCTCTCTGTTGAGAATAGCTGTTGCTTTATAATAGCAGCGAGCAAAGTTTCTGTAGGAAAATCTGAACTGTTCCTTATCACTCATTAGGGCCTGCACCACAATAAGTAGAGCTGAAATGGAAAAGGGATTGAAAAGGGGGAGGGGCGAGCTGATGAAATTCTCGAGAGATTCTGCCCATCCGAATTAAGGAAGGAAAGAATGAGATAGAAGTTTTTGGAGGGTTTGAGGAGGAGGAGGGGCCTGAAAGCCTGAACAAAGAAAATGTACCCCTCGTTAGCAATCAGTCAACTTCTTTTCCATATATTTTCGTGAGTAATTAGAGAGCACGTCATCTATCTTCGGAGGAGCAGAGCAAAAAGAGATTCTGTCCAAGGTTTGGGGTGAAAGAGGGGGGGCATATGTGTGAGCGTGTGCCTCATCCTCTTTCTTTCCGGTGCTCCACCCCCTTTCCTCACATGCTCTTGCTTTCCGGTAGTACTTCTATGAACTTCTGAGAGGACCGGAAAAGATGTTGAAGTTTTGAGAGTGGCAAGTGCAAAGAGGAAGTCAGCTTCGAACGTGTTCGTGATGTTTCCACATTGTAAACCCGACAAGTGCGACCAATTTTGCTGAGAAAAAACTCAAAATATTTTGAAGCATGGTCTGCAAATGTGTCTAGACTTTCTGAGTAAACTATCGTATCCCCACTACTCCTGTCGAAGTTCAGAGTGAGTCAACTGGAAATATCTTGCCTCCTAACTAGAATCGGAAAAATTATCAACTACAAAGTCAAAGAACACGATATGCTCTTTCAAGTGATGTTTAGAAGATGTAACAAATCTGAATTGAATTAGACTGGAGCATATTTGTGTCACTTGGAGCCGTCATTAGAATTGAAAACTGAGAAAAACGTGTTTTTCAGCTAAAACTCCCGGCCGTACATTATTTTCGAGAACCCGTAAAGAGTTTGTTCCACAAAATCGTTCCGTATTCGGTTTCAAGAACAAAAAATGGGACGATGAAGAAATGCGGTCCTGTTCTACTGCTTTTTCTCGTTCTGTTTCATGAAAACGAGAAAAAATGAGAATCCACCATCAAAACAGGTGGTTGTTGTACCCATCCAAACCCCAAGAAATCCATTGATGACGGGCGGTCTCCTTGTGCACAAAGCTTCTCATTTTCGGGCGGAAAATGAGACGAAAAAACCCGGGGCTCTAAGAAATTGAAGGAGAGAAAAAAGTTGAAGAAATAGAAATAGAAAGAGCCGCAGTATAAACATTTGAATTTTGAGATTCAGATTGTGTGCCCCCACAACAATTATAGGGTTCTGGAAATGTTAGAAACATATCCTTAATGCATGATATCACCCTTTCCTGATGAGTTGGTAAAACCTTACGCAGTTATGCGAAATTGTATTTGAAAACGGAAAAGCGAACAAAAACGAACGTTCGTTGAGCAGAACAAGAAAGAAAGTCAATAATATAAAGGAAGACAAGGGAAAAACGAAAAAAGCAAGGAGGGGGGGGGGGGTGGTTTCAGTTTCTTTTGTTTTCACTTGTCTGCTTTTTCAGCTTCTAAACTCTCCTAGAGTAAAGGAAAACACCTATTTCGGGAAAAAAAAAGTTTTTTAAACGAAAGGGTAGGAATTCTTCTGCCTAATTCCTAGGAAGAGGCAAGGATTCTATGATGTAAAGCGGCTCGACTCATACTCATTCGGAGGCCGCCTTCCCTTTCCGAGTGAGGTATTAGGACTCCTCCTGCTTGTGTTGCATGCATCGTGAGTATTATATATATATTATAACAAAACTAATTTAGGATCGATCCATACACACATGCACACTTTCGTCTTGTGCCGTTTTTAGTGAGAAGCATGTGGAAATGTAAAGAACTTCTTTGAGTTTGACCAAAAATTTGGATAGAAATGCATTTTCGATGCATTTCGCGCTAATTGCGCGTCTTTTGTAGTTGTTTCGTTTATTCAATCAGTCATGTTGAACTTTGGCGAACATTGGAAAAAAAACAATCTCTGAGAAAGTTCGAGTCAAGATTCTTCACTTTACAATAGTTCAAAAGTATATTTACAACAGCTGGAATAGTTCAAAGCCAGTTTTCCCGTGAATAATAGAACCTGCTCAAACTTAATCAAAAAATATGTGGAGATAACGTGTGGAAGCGGTCATTGGAATAAATTTCCTGTCCGTAGGTATGCTCATGGAATTCCTAACATAAAGCTGCTCTTCTAGTGCAAAGACCACTTCATCTTACTCGCTGCGGTCTAATCTGATCTTAACACCCGGCACACATAGTATCGGGAACTAATGTTGTTTCCTTATAAAGCTACAAACTGGAGGATAAATGAACGTCCCTGACGTCTTGGGTTTCTTTCGTTTTCCTCCAAGTTTTATAAGGGATTTGGCTAATCCTGGAAAAGACGAGGAAGTTGGACGAATTGAGGCAAGATCAAAAAATGGATGGAAAAACAGAGACCAATCCGAGAAAAAATTATAAACACTTGCTTTGATTTGTTGTTGTTCTTGTTGTCGTCATTGAATTGAACAAATTTTGCAAGAATCCGTCAGAATCGGGGCTAGGCCGAAGGGCGGTCCAGGCTTTTGAAAAGCTGTTTGATGACTGAACTTCTGACCCCGCTCTTTTGCCTAGCCCTGGTCAGAATCTTTACAATTACTAGGAATAGGAAAACATTGACAGAATGCTTTAAAGATGACGGGATTGTGTAGCAACTAATCGAATCAACGTCCATCACCCCTTCAGTAAAAAAAAGGAGGTCAGAGATGGCCAGAGAGCGTAGCCTTATGGCGATTGGCATCCGATTTTGGGTAGGCATTCCCCAGCTCGCTAGATAATGAGGGAATGCATTAGGAGTGAGGTGGTAGAAGACATGATTTCATTATTCACTGTCCTAGGGTCTTTCTTCTCCGCGTGTTTTTGTAGTAGAGGAGCACAGAGAAGAGATGGTAAGGCACCAGCCGAAAAAAGAAGAGTGGGTGGTCTATATAAGATGACATATGTTTTTCTTTCTCCTTTTCGGGCCCCACAGCCGGACTGCCGGGTGGCGCTTCTCTTTTTTCGGTAAAAAAAGAGAAAAGGAAAGAGAGGAGAGATATGTGTATGTATACCCCCCGGATGATGATGATGGAAGTTCGAATTCAGAGCAAATTGAATTCTATGCTAATGTTATTTTTCCTCCCAACAAACCAGTGAAAGGGGATAGAAGGGGGGAAGGCGACAAGTTTTTTCAAAGAAGTCTAGCACCGCGCTTCTTTCCTTCCTGTTCAGTTGGAATTTATAAAAAAGAAGTCTTCTCTTCTTGCAATTCCAATTATTTGGAACTCCTTCTGCTTCTCGCTTATAAAGAGGCAGGATCGTTGTAGTTGTAACGAGCTCATAGAAATTTATCAAAAAGTTATTAATTTTCTGACTTTTCTCTCTGCAAAGGTATGCTTTATCACATCTTCTCGACCAGAACGAACATTCGACAAGTCTCGCAAGCTTTCACTCGAAAAAACATAGAATATGAGCTTGGATGAGCAATAAGATACAATATGCAATGTGACCAGTAGATGATACCTTCTTATAGGAAAAAGCGGGAGAAATGCAATGTGAATGAGAAATAATAATGTTTTTTCAAGCGAAAAAGCGGTCTCAAAGACACCTAAGACCTATTTTTTCAGAACTTCCAGCTATTCTTTTGAGTTACGACGGGTATTCGTCGAAAAAATCTGTTCCGGAGTAAGTGCAGTAGAACATGAGCTGAGCACCCTTTCCAACTCAACTCACTTTGTCGCGGATAGGAGGTATTTGCCGGATGTAAACTTTAGGGGTGGACGAGTCTTGAAGCGAAACGTACGTCAACATGTCATTGGGATCTGCGAAGTTTGTCTTACACCCCCTTGCTCAATGAAAAACCGACGAGTTTTAGTGTTTTGATACTTCTTTCCGACGGTGACGTACGGATTTTAATATCAAAACAGGACAAGGAATCCTACATACATTCCCAAAAAACTAAAACAATAATAGGATCACTTTTCTATGTTTCACGACCTTTTATAGTTGAGAAAGCTATAAAATAGAATTAAAATGGAAAAGTATAGCTATTGTCCCATAAACTTGATCTAATGGTCTATGAATAGTCTATGAATACAAAATTTTTAATTCCGTTAAAACTTTCAACGCATCGAATTGCATTGCGTCGCATAAAATCGCTAATTTTGCAGCTATAAAGAGGAAAAGAGAGAATATCCGCATAAGTTAGCAGTTTTTTGAATGCGCCGACCGAAATAAAAATTGAATGAAAAGAAGAGAATGGATCTCGCTTGCATTCGAGAGGAACGGACACTTTGGAACAAACGAAGGGGGAGGCATCTTTCCGGAACGTCTTTTCAGAAGGTTCCTATAAGTTCGTGTGCCTTGAAATTCCAAATCCAGTCAGAAGAAGCCAAATTCCAATTAAGAAGAATAAATACACAAGATTTACTCCTTCCTTATCCAAATTGGGGATGTGTGTGCCTAAAGTAAAAGCAGTATATGAGTAGTACCCCGCCCATCCATATTTATTTTTATTTTCGGTGTGAGAGTATGATGCTTGAAGAGATGCGCCAAGGGTGAGAAGGGACGACGGAGGAGAAGAAGGAAAAGAAGGAGAAGAAGCGTTTTTACAAAAATTGATGAGCCACTTTCTTTTTATTCGCCTGCTTCTACTTCTTCATTTTCAATCGCCAGCATCCCACACAGAATAGCGGCCGCGAACAAAGCTAATATGACAACCTTTGCCGTTGATTTGGCTTATTTTCTTTCATTGACGATATTCACATACGTAAATCTCGCTTTTCTTCGAAACGTCGCCATATGCACGTTTACTTCGAGGACAAGTTCTTTTAGTTAGGGGTCGTGAACTTGTGGATTCTGAACTTTAGCAATCTGTTAGAGTTGCTGAGGTTCTGGACCATGACGTTTTGCAACTTAAAATTTTGCTATTGGGACGTGTTGCAACTGTTGTGAAACATCCTAGATTTGTCTTACCGAGGCCCTAAATGTTGAAGGGCACTTCGCAACTGACGTTCAATCAAAAAACTCTTCAAAAATTGTAGTTTTAGTTACTCCAAATTGCGATTACAAAACGTCAGAAATGTATATAAGCATTATAGGCATAAAGTGGAAGTCTCCCAATTGGAAAGTCTCAATATTTTATCATAAACTTGACGAGACTTCAAGCTGCTGTAATTTTGCTAAAAATTGAGCTTAGTTTACCTTTTTCGATAAAGCAACTATAACTTCACGTGGAGTCAAGTAGTAAACCATCGCTGTAACAAAAACATAAAATGGAACAATGTTTTTTGATCGGGATTCATAATTTTCCAAGAATACAAGTTCAAAAATTAAATATGTACATTGAGAGAAGTCGTGCGACCGCAAGACAAAGCTCATGTTATTCTACTCGGTCCGTCGGAAAAGAAGCCGATGCCATCAGGTAAACAAATAGGAAGAAGACGAAGAAGAAGGAGTCAGAATGCATCTGGACAAAACTACAAACTGATGATGATGGTGTACAGCGAGAAGGATAAGAATCGCGCGAGGGGATTCTCCTATCAATCCTAGACCCCTGAAATAAAGAACTGGTTTACCAGAAATAAGGTTCATGTCACGATGAGTAAAAGAAGTCATTTATCATTTCAAAAATCTTTTGAGTGTTGTGTTCAGTTCAGTCAGATGAGAACTGAAAACATTTATACGAAGAAAACGAATAAAACGGAGAAGAATAAATATTTTTCATAATGGTCTCATTTTTTATTTCAGGTATTTCAGTACATCCTTCATAAGGACTTTGTTGCTGTGAATATTATTGTGTCTTCCGCGTTTCAATGATTGGGATATTGTTTATTTCAAGCTAAAATTCGGTCACTACTAAATTACGCAATACACTCGAGATTATGGGTTAATTCCTTCCACAAGAAGCTGCACTTCCAATGAACGCCACCACGCGCGCTCGTTGCTTACCCAAACGTGATAATATGCGTCCTGAAATGCGAAAATTTGCATGATAATTGAGAAAAATTTGCATCAAAATAACAAAAGTCTCACCTTTTTTACCACAACCTCGTCCTCCATTGGCACTAGGGTTGGTCCTGGCATCCATGGAAAACATGGGGACACTTGTTTTGCGCTGAAAAGTACAACAATTGTGTCAAGACTTGTAGAATTGATGGATTACGTGAAAAAGTCGTCGACTTGTTCGACTTCGCTCCAGAAGACTCCAAAGCCAAAGTTACGGTTTCCGCGAACCCACCATTTCAGGGTTCCTCCGGCTTCGATAAACTTGGTCACTACATGAGTTTTTCCGTATGGTACATTCACAGTTACAGCGTTTTTGACTACCTAAAGCAGATTTTAGGTGATTTCATCATAAAGTTGTACTAAAAATTTTGTTTTAGAGATTTTGGCGGTGCAAGGACTTTGCTGATCTTAAATTAGCTGGGTTGATGCGTATTTTCTCAATTTAAGGAGTTCCAGTTCATCCGAGTTAGATAAGACACACCATATTCTCCACCACCTTTTCATCATCTCTGTCTCCCTTCCATACACTGTTATTCTTAGCCGAATAATATCCATCCATCGGGTACGCCACAGGCAGTTCCACAAATCCTCCAAACGTATGATTCTCATTGTCCCAAATCGACGGCAGCGCCGAGTGTACTGCGTATTGAAGAACATCATCACGCCAGTTTGACTCACCGATCAACCGAACCTATAGAGAGAACAGAAATTGAAAGTCATGTGAGATGAGAGAAAGTTCGACACTACACCCTTTCCCCGATCTCTTCAGTGAACTGAAACACTAACCTTTTCGCGTGTCTTCTCTGGTAACAATGGTCTTACGACGAAATAAAGGGTGGTGGCGAAACTGGGAACGCAGACGGGCACGAAATACTGAAATGAGAGACAACAATTGTTTTTCCTCTTCTAAACTGGTTTGTTGTGACCAAACCTTAATCATCTCCACATAATGGTCTGCCATAAAATCAGCGAGCGATTTCATCGAACCGGTCACGAGGTCGTACAGTTTTTTATTGTACTGTAGTCCAGTGACATCCATGACGTACAGGATCCACGCTTGCTTTCCAGTTGTTGCCTCGATTTCCATGACATGCGCCAGCATTTGTTCCAAATCGACCATTCTGGCTCTCATCACTTCTAGAATCGAAAAAGTCTCCATCATTCCGGTGTAATCGGTCTTTCCGCACTGAAAATTGCAAGACAAGGAAGGTGAACGTTGTTTTGATAAAAGATCAGGTTCATACTTGTTCAATGTTCACGATAACGTTTTCCAAAATTCCAGAAGGACCAGTGATACCGTATTTCCAGTGTTTGTGAATTGGATGATTGCGTTCCTTCTTATGCAGATCATCCAAATGCCAGGCAGAACGGAGGTTCAAGTGATGTTTCAACTTTTTTGCGATTTCTTCAACTGGCAGAGTGTTGTGGCCTTGAAGCCAGCGCAGAAGATTGAAGTCGGTGTCATAGTATGCAGATAAGTCATCCTGAAAATATGTTGGCGTTTTATATCAAGAAGAAAAGTGGGTAAAGATCACCTTCACAAGTTTGCGGAGCTGTTGGATCTTTATCTGGTCCTCAGGTGAAATTAAACTCTCAGCATCGTTCTCCACTATGGTCATCTTACCTGTAGTATGAAAAAGTCTTAGCTTTATTACAACACGAACAACAGAGAACAACAGTAGAAAATGCAGGCAAATATATTGGAGACTCCTACACAACAGTAGACGACTAACATCTAAGTCCAACACAATGTTTCGCCACTACCTTTTATGTATTCTCCTCTATGTTAACAGTAGGCCCCCGCAATCGACAAGTCACAGGCACTTTCGTTTTTGGCAAAAACCGGTTGGTTCTGGGACAAAAACTCTCTTTTTAAGAGAAAGAAAGTCGAAAGATTTATCATTGGAGAATATGTTTCCCCTCTCATTGTAAATCCGGATCAAAGACCGGAACAAGTGTCCAAGTATAATATGAGAATAGGGCGATCAGTAATTATATACGCATGATGACCTCGAACGCCGAAGTCACTCAACTATTGTATGGAATCTGCGGAACATTTACGTGAATGAATGAAAAGTGATAACACACGTAAATGACTACATCATGTATTTTTTGGACAAACTCAACGTTTTATTTGCAGATATTTAAGTTAATATAAGTTAAATCTTCAGTTTTGAAGAATACACTAGTGCCTCATACTGTTCACAGATTAGATTCGCATTTTTCGACTATGATATTCAGACCAGAATGAAATTTACAACAATTTAAAAAAAAAAGAGCACGCAATCTAACAGCAAATGTTGCTGAAGTTATATCATTCGTGGCCGAGTTGTTTAAGGATTTTCTCAGCTGCCTCCAGCGTTTCGTCTTTTTTAAAGTAGCACAGACGGACCATGTGGCTGTTCTGGATCTTTGTGTTGCGAGCCGAGTAGAAGGCGGACGGTGGAATCACGGCGAGCTTCTTCTCACGACACAACCATCTCGAGAAGACGAAATCGTCCGGATCCTGTTCGGTTGGGAGTTTAAGGCCTGGAAGTGTAGACATTTAGTAGTTACTTTCGCTTTGTATTTAAAATTGAACGCAAATAATTATGTCTTTTCAGGTGTGTGGACGAATTTACGGTATCATCTCTCTTCATGGGCGCAATCCAAAACAAGAACACATTTCACGTCCCAAGCACCTTACCTTCTTTCAGATGAGTGTAGTCAGCGAGCATGAAGTATCCAGCATCCGGAATAATCGGGCGGAAGTTACCTTCCTCGAGCATCCTGGCCAGTTTATCTCTCTTTGCACGCATCTCGCCAGATAGGCCAGTAGCCAAGTACGAGTTCTCCGGATCCTCCAAGAACTTGGGCCAATCAATCTTGAAAGCTTCGGCAATAGCCAATTGAGTTGGCGTGGAGCAGGTGAAGACGCAGTTCTGGTGGATAGCTTTCAGCGGATCGAGCAGCTGCTTGGGTCCCACAGCCCATCCGAGTTTCCAGCCAGTCACCGAGAACGCCTTTCCGGCGCTTCCGATCGAGATGGTGCGTTCGTACATTCCTGGCAGACTTGCTGAAAATTGTTATTATTATTTTTACTCTTATCCACTAAATATTAACCAAATCGAATCATATCTTCCTTGTTCCAAACGTGGAACTCATAGACTTCGTCAGCAATGACAATGAGATTGTGCTTCTTTGCAATGGCGGCAAGTTGTTCGAGTTCCGCACGCGAGAACAGTTTTCCCGTAGGGTTGTGCGGGTTGTTGATGATGAGCATCTTGGTTTTCGAGTTGACTTTGCGCTCCAAGTCCTCGAAATCAATGTTGAATTGCGAAGCGCTGGTGGCACCATCAGGGATTGTCATGACCACTGGGACCGGGACTCCTCCTGCGAACTTGACCTGTGGGTAGTAGCAGTCGTAGGCCGGCTCGATGACTGTAAGAAATAAGGTTTGGATATAGCGTCAAGGTGTGTGGTGTCTTTTGATAACACTCTATCGTTTAAATAACCTTTTTTCCTGTCTAGACCTTATTAACAACTCACTCAGGACTTCATCTCCCTTGTTGATCCATCCGAGAATGGCGTAGTACAACGAGAGGTAGGCACCTACAGTAACCAACACTTCGTTCATCGGATCAATCTGTACGTTGTAAAAGTGCGAGTACATCTTGGCGAGAATGTCGACGAGCGCCGGGTGTCCATATCCACGGGTGTACTGGTGTCCAGCGGTGAGTTCTGGCTGTTCGGCAATCTTTTTGAGAATATCAGTGACGAATTTCGGTGCCGGACTGTCCGGGAACCCCTGTCCCAGGTTTACAGCCTTGGTCTCCGCAGCCAAAGTGGTAAACTCGACCCTGAACAAAAATCGGTAACCACCAGCCAAATGAATGTAAGATAGTGTAGGACTCACCAGATTGACGGGGTGTTCTCGGCGACTCTTTCCGCTGGTCTTGGTGTAAACGAGGACATACTGCAACAATTGGTGCGGACTAGTTTCAGAAACGATTTGGAACTTAGCATGCTGAGGTGAGAACGGACCCGTTTTCTGCAGAAACAATGCGTTATTTGTGACAAATCTGGATAAAACAACAAAACAAAAACACAAATGCGCGTTTTTCTACTCTTTGTGGCAAAGTGTGTGTACACCAGATTTGACGACACATTGCGGATCACATGGGGGTATCAACATGTGTTTCTGCAGACAAACGGAGGCATACGAAAGCAAGGGAGTTAGCACACACATTTTACTGGAAATCAAAAAAAAATTAAGAGAAAATGGAAAGAAAGTAGTTCAAAACGGCAGGACTGAAGGAAAGATTCCACGATAACCAGAATCAATGTCATAAAATGGAGAGAAACTAGCGAGCATACCTTTGTGATCGTCACCTAAAGGGACGTGGTAACGGTGAAGCACGGTTGAGGAGTGGCCGAGTGGACGTGATTTCACTGTCACTATATAAACCGAGTACAACGTTAATTATGTCTATCTCGTAACTTTTTTCGCTTGAGTGTCTCTCTCTCCCTCTCTCCGACGTTATTGCTATGCAAGAAATCAAACTCTTAACCAAATCTCTCTCTTCCTCTCTCCGACATTATTGCAATGCAAGAAGTCAAACTCTTGACCATCTCTCTCTCTTCCTCTCTCCGACATTATTGCTATGCAAGAAACTCTTAACTCCCGAAATCATATACAGAAAATAGAATGTTCGAACTCAGCTCGATGAGATCTGTCAGATTATGTACATATTTTTCCTCAAAATTCTTGTGGTTGTAAACGGGTTGTAAACGGTTCCGCCGACTTTTGAAATTGAGATTAGAGTACGCATGAACAGGGATAGAAATGAATAAATATAACAAACATTAGATTCCTATGTGTATACATATTAAAAATGGAGTAGCAAATGTAGTAATAGTTATAACACGCTTCCCTATCATCATCAATAGTACCTACGATGCCCTTCAATTACACGTTTTCGCGTTTACGCAATATTTTCTAGTTATATCTTATCATATCTCGTCTTTAGTGTTGTCAAACCAAATCGATTATGCGCACTTGTCTCCGTCAAAAATGTTTACTAAAAAAGTAGAGACGAAGTGAAAGTTGGAAATAATAATTGTCGTCAAGATCAAATGACAGTCTCAGAGACCTAACTGATAAAAACCACATCGATTCTTGTTTTATCAGTTGCTTCACTCATTCAACTACGCTTTCACTTGGTTTTTAAGTCGAACGTTGAAAAATAAGTAATACCTGCTTGCAGGATGCCGTACCTAGACCACTGTGGCTCAACTCTCCCGTCCAAACAGCAGATGGAAGAGATTTTCAAACTTCAAATGCAATTGACACTCGCTAATCCTCATTCTCATCATACAACTGCACTCAAAACACAGCAAATAGTAAATTCGGCAAGATTGCGGTAAGGTTTTTGCATAAAGATTGAATAAAAAGTGATACATTTCTAGGATTCTGCGTCATTTTAACACCACATCTGACGACTATTTCGTAGTTTTTACGAATAACACAACACATGCGTTGAAAATTGTGGCCGAGAATTTTCGTTTTGGCAGGCGGGACCAGCCAATCAGTACAGTATCCGAAATATCTTCCACGTTGCTTGAAGGCCCAGGCCAGTTTGCATATCTTCATGATTCTCATCATTCGGTTGTTGGCTTGAGACATGTGGTCAGAGAAAAAGTGATTGAATGGAAAAAGAAAGGAAACATGAAAAACGTTCAGGTGAACGCAATAAGTTGCGTTGATGAAGTTGATAATTGGGATGAAGAAGCGCCAGTTGTCAGTGACAGTTTGTTTGCATTGACAGCGATGAGCAATTTCTGTGGAAGAAAGTATGATTTGAAGACGATTGATATTTTGCAGAACAAAGGTATCGTTGTCGAAAAACTTGAATGACGCTCCGTGATCCAAGAAAGGAAACATTTCAGGTTGGTCGGTGATGCTCGACGCGGCGAGTCTAGTCTCCACCTCACCGTTAGATTTGTCAGCGCACCGTCCCAACTACTTTGCCTTTTCATTCTATAAAATATTTGGATACCCAACAGGTCTTGGTGCTTTACTCATCAGAAAAGGTAACCACACAGCGTTATAATTCTTATTCGATCTTTGAAACTTTCAGATTCGGCGAATAAAATCAAGAAGAATTCATTTGCCGGTGGAACTGTTCAAAGTGTTGATGAAATGGATTTTCATTTTATTTTGAGAGATTACGAGAGAGCCTACGAGGAGGGCACTTTGAATTATTATGCCATCGCACAACTTCAGAAAGGTTTCGAAGAACTTGAACGATGTGGTATGACACTGTAGATGACAAAACCTAGTAATAATACTATTCAGGCGGAATGCAGTCAATTCGGGAAAAAACTCACAGTCTTGCAAACAGAGCGTTCAACATGCTGAAAGCTAAAAAGCATCCAAATGGAAGGTCTGTCGTCACACTATATTCTCAGTCGGCAGAGTTTGAGTCACTGGACAAGCAAGGCGCAATAGTTGCATTCAATTTGAGAAGACTCGATGGAGGCTATTACGGTTACACCGAGGTTGAGAAAATGTGCTCAATCTTTGGATTGGAGCTGCGCACCGGATGTTTTTGTAACATTGGAGCTTGCAAAAAGTACTTGGGCATTACATCGCAGATGATAAAGGAGAATATGAGTGTGAGTGCTTTCTAATAAAAATTTCAAACTCACGTTTACCAAACTTGTTACAAACTGATTTTTCAGAAAGGAAAACGATGTGGCGATGAGATTGACTTGATAAAAGGGAAACCAACGGGAGCTGTGAGAATCTCTTTTGGTAGAACTTCAACAGAAGATGACATCACAGCTCTTGAACAAATGATTGACACATGTTTTGTTGGAGGTGATTCTGTTGTTGTTACTAAATCAGTGCACTTGAAGTTGGAGTCCTATTCTCCTTATGTGGTGAATTTGTTCAGTTTTCCTATAAAAAGTGTTGGGTCAATAGGCAGAGACAGGTAAGTTAGATTCACTTCAACCTTTCATCACATTCTGTTTTCCAGATACACCTTGGACATGAGAGGTTTCAAACACGATCGTGAATACATGATAGTTCAAGATGACGTGACGCTCAATTTGAAAATGCATCCGGTGTTATGCCGTCTGACCGCTTCTGTAGTTGACGGCACGTTACAAATTCAAACTTTTGACAGCAATGAGAATCTGCTGGTGCCAATGAGCGTCACTCTGAAGGATAACGACGCGAAAGTAGTGTGCAAGAACACGTAAATATATAATGTGTCTAGTATTCTGGTCATGTGCAACGTTCAGAATAGCAACTCAAGATTGTGGAGATGAGATTGGAAAATGGATCGACGAAGCTTTGGATTTATCAAACTGCCGTTTACTTCGAGTTTCTAAAGAGTCTTCTCGAAGTTTTGTGAACGATTCCCCATTTCTACTAATCAATGAAGCGAGTGTGTACATGCTATCAAAATATATTAGTACGTGTACAAGTCTTACCGAATAATTTCGTTATTTTTCAGACATGAATGTTGACGACATTCTGCAAAGATTCCGATCAAACATTGTTGTCCGTGGCCTCCCACCATTCATTGAGGACACCGCCACAAGTTTGACAATTGACGATCTTTCCTTTGAGGTTATTAGACACCAAGATCTTGGAATTGAGGATCAGGATGTCGACTAATACTGCTAATTATGTTTGTTCCGGTTTAGGTGGTCGACAAATGCATCCGATGTGAAATGATATGCGTAGATCCGATGACAGGCGAGAAGGATCCGTCTTTATTGCTCGCACTCCGAAATTACAGGAACAAACAAAAAGTGTTTTTTCCAGGTTGCACTTTGTACCTTAAACTTTGATTATTTTCAGATGACATTTGGCATTTACATTCGACAAACCAACTTCAAAGATGGTCAGGTTTTGCAATCAGGAATGTCAGTCAACTTCTTCGAATAACTGGTCTTCGATTTGTTCTGTGCTGTTCACACCTGAATGATAATGACTATGAAGTGATGACGAGTGCACCGGATTTTCAGTTGAACAACGGACAATGGGCATCAGTTTAGATTGAGAAATAATTTGCTTACAGTAATCGGTTTTGCGACATTTTGTAACACAAAAAACAATAAAAAGTTCACAAAGTTTTCATCAACATCATTCAAATAAAAGAGACACACAATGCTTTCGAAAAGAGACAAACAGATGGTGCGAGAGGATTATTGTCTACAGTATCTTTTTTAGTTTTCATATTAGAGAAATTCATCGCTAAAGCATTGGTTTTCAGTAGAGAAGGACAGACGGCGCCCGGTTCGACATGTGCTCCGGAACATATTCGTACGGGTCCGCGTTTCCATACGATTCGCCTGAAAATGTTGGTGCTATTACGGTTGAGGAATGTATGTACATACCTAGGAAGACATCATCGGATCCCACGGGATCAGCTCGTTTTCCAAATCGAACCAGCGAGTTGCGCATGGCTTTTTTGGCCGGTCTCATGCTGAAACATTACTTTCATCATCATGGGAATCCAGAAGTAATCAATCTGAGATGTTATCATACTCTGGAGAATACTCGATACGTTTGTTTGTCCGGGGGAGGCGGAAAGAGATTAATGTTTTGGAACTGAACTCGGTCTACTAAATATAGCCGCACCACTTCAAGTGATTTGGCGTCGTTGCGTGCGTACCTTTCGAGCTGTCATCTCAAGAATGGTCATAAATAGTACGCCGTCATGTTTTGCTCAACTTTCCAGAGACCACTTCTTATAAATTACTCATTTTTGCCCCTCGGGGAGTTCGACTACTACTAGAGAATCTACAAAATGACCAAAGAAATAAAGCTGTCAGCAGTTATCATTCAAACCTCGACATTTTTGAACCCCATGGGTGAGGTTCGATGGGCTTCATGTTCCCTGTTCTGCAAAGAGGAAATAACACTCTCACTCTCCCTTTCACTTTTACTTCCAGATCCAATTATATCCATCTCACTCTGTAGATTTCGATGCATACAAATTTACATGTAACCTAGATTTTATATTACGAATATGCGAAAACTGAGTGATGTATTAATTTATTCCAACATTTGTGCCCGTTAAGGAAGTAGACTCATGATTTTTTTGTTGCACGTTTATGAAAATTGATATGCAAATTGAGAAATATGAGTTCTGGACATTAATGATATCAGTTCTCGTACCCAAGTTCTGTAGTAACACAGCAGTAGGCAATACGTTTACAAGTTCCAAGAAGGTATTTTCAAAAGTATGAACAGAAAGTGACGTGATGGCAAATTTAAAAAGGGTGGGTCAAAAAACATTGTCAAGAAGCAAGTCACAGCTAGCTGCCAAGGAAGTCAATACAATTTTCAATAAGGCCAAGCAAGATACAGTACTTCCTGTGTCTAAGAATCAAGGGTTCAGCCACGAATACCTAAACCCAGTAATCATGTATATTTCATATGTTTTTAGAAACCCTTTCTAAAGTACGAGAATTATGTATTGTAGCACACAACAACCCCTTTTCCCTCACCCGAAATACCTTGGCATAGCTTCAACGAAGACCATGGAGCAGAGAAGAGCAAGGATGAGGGTGTGCACGAAGGAGAACATGTCGTAAGAATGAAGTCTTCAAGGGGCGTGGCCCCTACTCCTTTCAGAATCGGAGCCCAACCCCTCTCCCTCACGGCTGCCATGCTCTGCCAATGGCACATGTCATCCGCACTGTTTTTGTCGTGTGCTCCGTTTTGCGCTGCCAAATAATTCAATTCAAATGATGACAGTTTCGTATAGAGGGTTACTCACCGGGAATGCCTGCCATTTGCACGACAGAGATTATCGCGAAAAACAGACACAATTTAGCAGAATGGAACGGAAATGGATGGCCAGACGGACTGACGTGAGGGGTATACATTATCTGAAAGTGGCAGGCTGAACAAAAAACAAGAGAACAGTGAACTTTGCAAAGGAAGCGGAAAAAATGAGAGCCAACCGGACAATGAGGATGAGGATGATCAAGAATCTCTTCGAACCTCATACATTGGTTTCTGAGAACCTATGCAAACGAACTAAGGTGTCTTCGACTTCTTTGTCTTGCAAATGTTGAGCAACCCACACAATTGTGCCAAAACTTACTCATCTCACACTCACCAATTCTTTTGTGCCTTACCACTCCTTTGTTCAGATAACTTGACTAAGAGAAAGACCATGACGTAATAAACCAAATTACACATTTTTTTGGTAGTGAGGGGACCTTTGAACAACCTTGTATATAACAATATGTGGAATTGAGTATTTCTGTTCCGAGAAAAACAGCATTGCAATGGAATAACATCTCAATTATACCCTCTCTCTTGAATTCGGTTTGCTAAAGCACATCGGGAAGAGGTGAATTGAATAAATCCTCTTTTTTCAATAAGATTAACCTTTGGCGCACATGAATAAATCGCCACGGATTCCTAAACGCTTTTTTGGTTCCTTTTTCTTGTTTAGATGTAATCGCCAGAAAAATTAGGTAACAGGAGCTCAGAAACAATAAGAATAATTCTTTTTTTTCTAAACGTCATTGTTTTCCACATTTTTTAGAGACAATTAAAACTGAAATTAAATTTTCGAGCTGTAACAAGACAATATGAGCCAATAAATTCTCTACCAATTTGGTGTGACTTTTTGACTTATTCCGGGTGAATTCAGTGACAAAGTGATTGCTTTTTAGGGTTTAAGTGGAATTATTCGGATCAACCATGCAACGATTCTTTGAAGATCCTGGACTAAAGTTATTCATTTTGAAAAAGAAAGTTACAAAAATCAAAGTGTCTGCAAGGGATTTGGTGACACAAAATATTCATCCTCAAACCTTTTTCACTACTTGTACACATTAAAACAGCCACAATTTACAACTTTGTTCAGAATTTCAACATAAAAAAAATAGGACCGACCCTTGATCCCCGTTCCTCAACGTATTTTCATCCTCAATCCCCTTTCTCATTTATTACCACCTGCTTCTCAAGATAAAAGCGTCAAACAAACTGGCAATGGAGAGCACGACAATTGCATGTGGACAACCGGGGACTCCAAAGGGCTCTCTTTTGAAACAAATGTGTGCGTTTTTGTGTGTGGGGGTGAAAGGAGGGAAAAGAGAGAAGAAATAGTGTTGGCCTATGTGTGTGTTTCTATTGCATAGAGAGCAGGCGGTCGGGAGGTCATTGCACCCACAGAGCCATCCGCTATTGCGCACTCTCTCACTTTCCCTCTTCCCTTTTTTGTTAGAAAAAATTATATTCTCTCCCAATCCCGAGCTGTGACACTGAGGGTTTGCGGTCAAATGCGAACAGAAATGATATCAAGTTTGCTCTCAACTTTTTACCCCCCCCCCCCTTCTCTCAACTTTTTGTGTCACTAAACAAACAGGCCCCAGAGTAATCATACAATGCATATCGATTGCGAACTTTCAGTCATTTGAAAATGAAAAGCTATGATACATATGAACACAAGTGTATTCTATGACAACAATATTATTCTATTTTTGCTCCGAGACCACACGGCATGACGTTGAATGATTTTGGCTTATTTCGTGTATTCTCGGGATTGGTCTACTATTATACTAGACTGTTTTTCTACATGTTTCATACCATTATTCCTATTTCTTATGCTCAAATCTCTTTCCCTCTTTCTCTCCCCAATAGTACACAGTGATTATGTTTGCTTTTTGCAGGACAATACAGGTAAAACGGAGCGGGACAACGGAAAAAGACAAAGAAAAGGACAGAAACAGAAAAAGAGATGCCGCATCGGAAACAGAATGAGAAACGAAGAAGTAAGTGAACAAGTTTTTTTGCATAACAGAACTAATATCAGCTAATTTTCGCATGTCCTTTTCGTTTTCCTTTTCTTTTGCTTTCCCAAACTTTTTTAAAGGAAAATTGCACCCTAGTAAATACATATAAAACGGGCTGCAAGTGTTCATCGAACAGTTATTATTGCAGAGTCTTCGCTGCTCATCCCACAGTACAGCTCCGAGTTTGTCATCAGTCAGCAGTGGAACGGCGACGAGACGGACGAGACGCCATCAGAAACACATAGCCGAGGTGAGAAGTGTTTTTATACATTTCCGAGCAAGTTCGCGGGGCCCGTCTGCTGAAAAATATCATTTTGTACGGGTAAGGTTGGAGGGATCAACGGGTAACAAATTTTTCATATAAAAGCGGTCTGATTCATGAGCAACATGTATAGTAATTATGAAACTAAAGTGAGAACGCACGAATTTAATCTAAAAAATTTAGATGTCAATTAAAGTAGGTAGACTGCTTTCCGAAACGTGATTTCTGCTAACAGTTTCCCGGACAGTAATTTTAATTTTAAATTACCAGCCAACCCGACTTAAACTCATTTTAACACTAATTTCGTACAGAAAATCGATTATTCGCGAAAATCATTTCAACATCAATATTTTGGGAATCGCAATAGACTAGACAATTTTGATTTGCTTTTACGTAGGCATTCCGCCTACGTTTCACGAAAATTGTGATCACTGAATTAGAGGAAGGCATGTGGAGAACAAAATGCATTTCCATACTCCTACACACGAGAAAGGTGATCTTTGCAATAAGTAGAACAGTTTATCGGAGGAGGAGGAGGACAGTGCCGAGAGTGAGGCGGGGGGCAGAATGGGGGAAAGTGGCGAGACTTGCTTGGTGTGGTGGAACTTGTGATTGCTATCGGTCCACTTTCTCCTTTCCACCTACGTCGACGGAATGAATTGATTATAAGTATGAACAATGAACATTCGAAACTGATCACAGTTGGGCGACGAGTGAAAGGGGAGGTAGGTACAAAGGTGAAATGGGTTCAGTACCAAAGAATCAAACATCTGATCGGAAAGTTATTGGTGAGAGGAAAAAAGAAAAGGAAGAAAAGAAACGAGAAGGGCAAGGGTTGTAAGCTACACATTACGGTCAGATGGTGGTGGCCATGAGGCTACAACCTCTCTTCTGAAGAAGACATTCTTGGCAGAAATATAAGTTATTTCAGATCAAACAGTCTTGACAATATCGCTTGACTCACCGAGCCTCAGTTCAATCAATTACACTGAACTGCTGGAAGCCTTCGGTTTGGCCCTAAGTGAAACGAGTCTGCTTTCCGGAAGGTATGTTCATGTTCCTTCTCCCTCCCTAATCGGAAAAATGTTCATAGCGTCAACAACAAAATCATTCGATCGTTCGCTGATCACGCACACAAAGAACCATCCTTTTCGCTTTATCGTTAACCGTAGACCCCAACGCACATGCACATGCACACACGAATGCTCTTCGGGTGATATTTTTTGCGGAGCCAGCTCTTTCCGCCCGCCCCTAAATGATAACCCCATAGTGGCGTGATGATTGAGCGTTACAGAGACGGAGAGCAAAATTGAACTGAACTGCGCTTATATAAAAGGAATGCGAAACAGTGTTTCGTGCTTACGCTATCTTGACTTTTAGCTGACTCTGACCATGTGAGTTCCGTTTTTCCGCGTTTTGTGAGTTCTTTAGTTTACTACATAGGATTGTCGTGCTTTAGATCATTCCGTAGACGTTTTAGAACCACGAGACGCTTTCCAACTAGACACTTGAATATCGTAACTTGTTCAGAAGACCAGCTGTTTCTAACTTTTTTGTGGATCCCTGTTAAATTTCCCGGGAAACAGCTGCGTTTTTCCAGTTTTGTCTTCAACTTTTGGGAAAACACTCCTTTGTAGCGATTTTTCAACAATTCAAACATTGTAGACTGATACTGTAGCTTTCAAAGCATCGTTGCATACCGTTAGTCATACCCGATGCCCGCAGTTCCACAGTTTCTGCCCTTTTGCAAAGTCAAAGACTACAACGCAAAGTGTGAAGCGGTGTGAGAAGAAAAGGGGAAGAAGAAGATGAACCGATATAGATCTTTCTGCACGAGGACACCCGACGACAACGTTTTCTGGCCGATTCCTCCCTTTCCCATAGACGATGCGCTGCGACGTATCAGTGGCAATTGCTTCGCGGACCTGAACGTAACGTACAGTAACATCATCCCTCCCCCGCGTCTAACCGTTGTCGCCCGCCGCCGACGGACTGACGAACGGATAGACGCGCAAAAAGATTTGGAGAGATTTCTCGATATTATCTCCTCTCTCCTCTATTTTCTATCCATCCTCCCGACAGTCAGCCAGATTCTTTCGCACTCGCTTGTCGGAGGACGAACTTTTGCCTGTAAGCGCGGGCATTCCATTCCATTCGATCCCATTCAATCGACAAGGACGAAACCGAAGGCAACGCGTGGGAAGACACATTCTTCTGTACACTGCTGGATGTTTTGGCCTTTGCTTTGGCACATTAACAATGGGAAAAAGACGGCAAACGGTCCGTTTCTTCCATAACTTTTCCTTTTCTTTTCTTGACGGCTTTTGGCGTCTGACTTTCCTTTCGATTTCATCATCCGTGATCCTCATCCGAGTGGGGGCATGTGACCCACTGTCTAGTTGCGCGCAAGAAAGGCCAGGCCTCCGAATCGGTCAAACTGCGAATGCCCGTGTCTCGTCTCTTCTTTCGAGGTCATTTCTCGGTCGTATGAGTTTCTCCCTCGTTTTGTCAGCATCCTCTTTTTACCCACACACTCTTGTGTACAGTATCATGATATGCTGGGGTCCTCATATCATCCAGAACAAATGTCCAGTGATTTTGTTTCCCCCGTTGGCCGTCACGCCACTAAGTAGTCTTAGGGGGACAGAAATGACCTTGGAAAGTATTTTTGTTTGTCTAACTCATTCATATTCTTCCCTAAATTCAGTTCATGTGATTTGGATTTGAATTCGAACAGTCGCATATAAAAGTGGTCGAGAACACGTCATAAATGAGGTCAAAATCTATGTGTGTCTGGAGAAGAAGTGAGAAAAAGCGAGAGAAAGAGAAAAGAGGAGAGAAACGATTGAAAATGGCGTGATTTTTCTTGTATTCTTTATCAGAGAAACTATGTATCTCCCATCAAAAACTTCAATTCACATCACCTCTCTCTTTTTCGTATTTGTTCTTACTTTTTTATCACTCCCTCATTCACTCACTCCACCACCGCTTCAACATACCATCTTTCGCTTCAACCTTCACCCCCTCTCACTCAGAAAGAAACAATTAGTAGAAATAGTTTTCTTGAACATTTCTTTTTCCCATTGATGATTCCGATTCAGTAAACCGGCCTAGAGCGTAAACAACAACTATCCAGGCGAGAAAGGAAAGGAAAAGTGCCCATGTGTGTTGGGGGGTATTGTATTGCTTTTCTCCCGTACTTCTACCACTTTCTTTTAAAATATTACTATGTCTCACCACTCAATAATTTTATTTTTTACAGTGTCTACGATCTTGGAAGACCATTCAACATGTCGGTTAGCGGTCATAAACCTGATTTCCAAAAGATCAACGTCTCAGGAAATGTGAGAGCAACAGTTTTCGGTCTGGATCTTTCAAAAAATTATGTTTAGGATGCAATCAGTGACGGATCTCCTCAATATGACACCATCGAGCAGTTCGTGGAAGCGAATGTCACAGATCCAACCAAAAGATCGCCGATTCGTAGGGTAACGTGAATTTTTCATCAAAAATGACAAATGACAGAAAAAAACGTTTAGATGTTTGTCGCCACCAACGGTATTGCCGCAGTGCGTTGCATCCTGACGATTCGCCGTCTTCTGAATCACACATTCCGTCAGGACCCGAAATCAATGATGCATTTCATTGGTATGACGACTCAGGACGAGATCGACTCTAATTCGGGTCAGTTATTGTGCTTTTCACGTGAAACCAGCAATGTCTGTCACAACGAGTCGAGATAAGAATCAAGCGAGCACAAAGTACGCAATTCGTTTACAGAGTACCTCAAACTCGTCAACAGCTTTGTAATTGTTCCATCGGGTAGCAACAAGAACAACTATGCGAACGTCGACGAAATCGTGAAGCATGCGGTTGAGAAGAAGGCCGACGCCGTCTGGGCCGGATGGGGACATGCCTCGGAGAACCCCGAGTTGCCGAGACGACTTGCGGAAAAGAATATTGTGTTCATTGGTCCGCCAAGAAGCGCAATGTTCAGTTTGGGAGACAAAATTGCCAGTACCATCATTGCACAGGTAAGATTTTCCGGTAAAACTGTTCTAAATTTCTTTTTGTAGACTGTGGGCATTCCAACCATCGCCTGGTCTGGATCGGGCATTGCCATGGAAAACACGATGCGCTCCAAGGGAGACTTTGTTGATGTACCACAACCACTTCTCGAGAAAGCGTGCGTCAAAACCTTTGGGGAAGGACTGGAAGCTTTGAAAACACATAAAATCGGATTCCCACTCATGGTAAGCTAAGAAGGCCTTGAATTCTAGTTCATATTCATGTTTCAGATCAAAGCCTCCGAAGGAGGTGGCGGTAAGGGAATCAGAAAGTGCACAAAGGTCGAGGACTTCAAGAACATGTTCTTCGAGGTCACCTGCGAGGTTCCACAATCTCCTATTTTCTTGATGAAGTGTGTTGAGAACGCGCGACACATTGAAGTCCAGCTCATCGCCGATCGTTACGAGAACGTCATCTCTGTTTTCACTCGTGACTGCTCCGTCCAACGCCGTTGCCAGAAGATCATTGAAGAGGCACCAGCTAGCATTGCTCCAGAAACCACCCGCAAGCGCATGCAAGAGGACGCCGTCAATATTGCCAAGTTTGTCGGATATGAGTCTGCTGGAACCGTTGAGTACTTGTACTTGCCGGAAACCGACGAGTACTTTTTCCTGGAGCTGAACCCCCGACTTCAAGTGGAGCATCCCGCCACCGAAATGATCTCCAACATCAGTATCCCAGCTATTCAAGTTCAAATCGCTATGGGTCTTCCATTGCACAAGATCCAAGACATCCGTACCTTGTACAACCTCCCTAAGAACGGAGATTGTGAGTTACCAGATGAAGTTCTCACCGATACAAAGCTTCACGCTATCGCCGCTCGTATTACCAGTGAGGATCCAGATGACAGTTTCCGTCCATCTACCGGAAAGATCGAGGTGCTCAATCCCCGTTCATCTCAAGACGCGTGGGCGTACTTCTCGGTGTCTGGAGGAGGAAAAGTTCACGAGTTTGCTGATTCTCAGTTTGGACACGTGTTCGCTAGAGGAAGAAGCAGGCAGGAGGCTATTGGAAATATCCTTGGAGCACTTCAGGAGCTGGAAATAAAAGCCAGTTTCAAGTCTCAGCTGTCTTATCTTGTCGATTTGATCAGAGAGAAGGACTTCACCAATAACATGTGCAGCACTCAATGGCTTGATGAAAGAATCGCCAAGAAAATTAAGCAGGTAAGTGATAAAAAAACGTGTTCTTTGATTTCGCCCTCCGTAACCCGCTTTTATTGCAGAAATGTACTCTCCCCATGAGCGACATCATTGCTATCAGTGCAGCCGTGATCGGCCACGACCGCGTTACCCACGCTTTCGACAGTTTCAAGGGAGCTATCGAAAGAGGACAAGTTCTGCCGCCCAACGACCTAACGGAGACCTTCCTGTTTGATCTCGTGAAAGATTTGAAGATCTATTCCGTGAAAGTCACTCGCAGCGCTCCATTCTCATTTGTCATCCTTCTCAATGGCGCAAAGACAACCGTCAACATTGTCCTTCTCGGAAACGGTGGACTGATGGCAACTCATGGCGAGAGCGTGTATCAGTGCAGTCTCGACGAGACACCGGAGATTTACAAGGTCATTATTGGAAAGGAAATCATTACTTTTGAGAAAGATAACGATCCGAGCGTTTTGAAATCGCCGTACACAGGAAAGTTCTTGGCGTACAAGAAGGAGGAGAATGACTTTGTGGACGTCGGAGAAGTGTTCGCAGTTGTTGAGTCCATGAAGCTGGTCTTCAATGTGGAGGTCAAGAAAGCACCAGGAAGGTATTACCAAAACAGTTTAGCCCACAAAAATTTTATCCACAACTTTCAGACTTCACCGTGTTGTCAACGAGGGAGACTTGATCTTCCCAGGAAGTGTCATCGGACGTTTGGTTGATCAGAAGGACTCGGAAATGTATCGTCCACAGAAATTTGAAGGAGTATTCCCCGAATGGACTTCCACTATCAACTCTACTACTGAAAACATTGCACACTTGTACAACGCGTGCGTTGAGGTAAGAAATACAATAATTTAGATATTACTATTGCTCAAATTCATTGTAGAAGTGCCGCAACATTCTCGCTGGATCAGTACCACTTGGAGGAGTCACTGAGATCACCGCACTGACAACAGAGCTTTTCCAATTCCTGAATGTCAATAACCTTGCCAGAGTCATCCTGGAGCCAACGATTGTTCAAGTTACTAAGCATCTTTCCCCAAGTGTTCAACAACACTTCTTTGATGTGATCGAGAAACCAAACTTTACTGGAGACAAGCTCGTCGAGGTTCTCAACGGATTTGCCTTGAGCCCAGAAGACCGCGTCAAGTTTGAGCAAGCCGTCCATGAATTCGCTTATGGAGCTAACGGTTTTGCCTCGGGAGTGCTCAACAGCCTTCTTCAAGATTACATCAGCGTTGAGAAGTACTTCGAAGGAAAGGGATACGACGATTCCGTCGCTGAGATCAAGGAGAACAACACTTGTGGAGACGCGGTTGTGCAAACGATCTACTCGCACACTCAGATCAAGTCCAAGAACATTGTCATGAAGTCGATCCTTGAAGCTCTCAAAATCACTGGCTCCAAGTTCATCCCGTCGCTCCTCGAGAACCTTCGTGAGATTGGAAACCTTCATCACACCGAGGAAATCTCCAGTCTGGCTAGAGAAATCCTTCTGATCTTCCAAAACTTGTGCTACAAGAACAACTACTCCGAGATGACTACCAGTGGATCGAGTGCAACGGCCCAGGAAGTCAAACAGTGGCTCAATGGACCTATTTCTAAGAGACCTGACTCTACTGGCTGGAAGGTGATCCACGAGTACTTTTTCGACAAGGAGATCGGATCTCAATGCCTCGATCGTTACGTGGCTACCCACATTTCTGCCGAGAGCGGATACTTAGAGAACACTTACACCCTCCCGAGCATGTCGTGCACCATCAATCACTTCAAACTCATCGGAAAGCCGATCAGCTTCAACAAGCTTGTCCTCCCGGGAAACCGTCTTGTCGTCGTTCGTCTCTCTCTGGATTCTGCCACCTACAATACTTGCTTCACCAACAAAACTTTCCTTGATTGCTTGAGAAAGAACTTGGTTCAATACTGCAAGAAGGATGAAGTCATCAACGTTTCCATCTTTGTCAAGATCACAAATGATAACACTGTTCATAACGTGAGTGAAGAAATGAACACGAGCGATAGCATAAATCAAAAACGATTACAGGACGCTTCATGCCTCACGGACGAAGAGGAAGAGAAAGTCTGCTACGCTCAGAACGCTGTGGTTGGATTGAAAGCTGAACTTGAGAAGAGTCTCAAGATCAACCGTGTCAACACTGTTCTGTGCCTCCATGATCGTCCACTCCCACAACTCACCATTGTGGAGCAAGTCCGTCTCGAGAAGGATCGTCTACCAGTCAACTCTTACCCAGTTCTGTCAAGACTCTCTTCAGTCCGTGCTTATCAACAAGACGATCCGGAGAGCACCTTTGCCAAACTGTTCATTCGTCAGCAATTGATCATTCCAGGAAATAAGGCGGAAGATGTGTAAGTCAAGAGTTACTATGAATTTCTCTAGGATTGTGATTACAGTAAGAAGCGCATCTCACGAGCCATGTACCTGGCCCTGGATAACGCATGCACGGCTGCTCAGGTTGCGATGGGCAAGAAGAGCAAGACCGGAAAAGAACAACACTTTACTTCCAACCACGTCTTCGTCATCATCTCGTGCCCAGGATTGTCAGAGGAAGTGATCGCTTCCGAGGAGCATCTCACCTTCATGAAGGAGTGCATTACCGAGGAAGTGGAGAGCCACAAGAGCATTTTGGCCAAGCATCAAATCAGCGAGGTTGAGATGGTTTACGAGTCGATCGATGGACACAAGAGAATTGTGATTCGTGATGAGACTGGAGTCACCACCGAAGTCATCACCAAATTCAGCAAGACCCTCGGAAGCTACCCGCCAATCAACATTGTGGATAAAAAGAGATTCGCTGCTCGCAGAGTCAACTCTTCTTACATTTACGACTTCCCAATTATCTTCGGAATGGCTGCTGTGAACTCTTGGCAGGCTGCAAAGACTCTTGACAGAGACGCGTACAACAAGAGCGTTGCTGCCCTTCCGTCTGTCTTTGCTGAAGCACTTGAAGAAGGACGCTGGAGAGACTTCTTCCATCTCAGCGAGCTGGTGTTTGAGAATGGAACTTTGGTGAAAATCAATGATGCTGACACTATCCAGAAGAGATCCAAGAACGCGTTGAATAAGTGCGGAATGGTCGCCTGGATCATGACTCTTTTCACTCCTGAGAAGCCACAAGGATACGACGTGGTGCTGATTGGTAACGACGTCACCTTCCAATCCGGATCTTTTGGAACTGCTGAGGATGATCTGTTTGCTGCCGCGTCTACCTACTCCAGAGAGCACAAGCTGCCACGTGTCAACGTTTCTGTTAACTCTGGAGCTCGCATCGGACTCTCCACAAAGATTTCCAAGTTGGTGAAGGTTCAGCTCAAGAATGAAGTGAAGCCGGATCAAGGATACGAGTACATCTACATCGATGGACAGCACAAGGCCGACATTGAGGGGCAGGTGGTCTACGAGGAGTTGAGCAACGGAAGATTGAAGATTCTCGCGGTCATCGGAGCCAAGAACGAGAAGATTGGAGTTGAGAACTTGCAAGGATCTGGACTCATTGCTGGAGAAACTTCCCGTGCTTACTTCGAGGTGCCAACTTACTGCTACGTGACTGGAAGATCTGTTGGAATTGGAGCATACACCGCCCGTCTTGCTCACAGAATTGTGCAGCACAAGCAATCTCACCTCATTCTAACCGGATTTGAAGCCCTGAACACTCTTCTCGGAAAGAAGGTTTACACCTCCAACAACCAGCTCGGTGGACCGGAAGTCATGTTCCGCAACGGAGTAACTCATGCCGTTGTTGAGAACGATCTGGAGGGAATCGCCAAGGTGCTCAAGTGGATGTCATTCTTGCCAACCGCCAACACCGAGTTCCCATTCTTCACCCAATACGGTAACGATGCCCATCTTCGTGATGTCCGTATTCCGATTGATGGAACTGAGGAGAAGCAGTACGATGTTCGTCACCTGATCGATTCGAAGAACCTTCATGATCTGTCCGGAATCTGCGATACAATGTCGTTCGATGAAATTTGCGGTGACTGGGCCAAGTCCATCGTTGCCGGCCGTGCCAGACTCTGCGGATTGCCCATCGGAGTTGTTGCCTCGGAATTCAGAAACTTCCCAACGACCGTTCCAGCTGACCCGGCTCTTGAAGGATCTCAGACTCAGAATTCGCAACGTGCCGGACAAGTTTGGTATCCAGATTCTGCTTTCAAGACTGCCGAAGCTATCAATGACTTGAACAAGGAAAATTTGCCACTTCTCATCATCGCTAGTCTCCGTGGATTCTCTGGAGGACAAAAAGGTAATCCTGATATTTATAGAATAGCAATGGTTTTATTTTTATTTTTCAGATATGTACGACATGGTTCTCAAGTTCGGAGCACAGATCGTCGACGCTTTGGCTGTTTACAATCGTCCTGTCATCGTCTACATTCCCGAGTCCGGAGAGCTTCGTGGTGGAGCCTGGGCCGTGCTGGACAGCAAGATCCGCCCAGAGTTCATCCATCTTGTCGCCGATGAGAAATCCCGTGGAGGAATCCTGGAGGCAAACGCCGTTGTCGGAATCAAGTTCCGTAAGCCGGCTATGGCCGAGATGATGAAGAGATGTGACAAAACCTACGCCGAACTCGCCGCTGACAGCAGTGCCAAGAAGCAGACCGAGGAGAGATACACGGAATTGAGCAAGGTGTACAGAAATGCCGCAGTGGAGTTTGCCGATGCTCATGACAGATGGCAGAGAATGAAGTCCGTCGGAGCTGTCGACCACGTCACTTCCCTCAAGAACTCGAGACGTCTCTTCTTCGAGCTCATCAGAAATGAACTGGCCAAGGTCGGAATGGCTGAGACTTACTCGAATGCCCCCCACGCTAGCAAGCCGTGCCTGGCTTCGTCGATGACTTGGGTCGAGAGCAATTTGAAGGAGTTTGTGGATACCGGTGCTTCTCTGGATGATCAGTATGAGCAGATTAAAACCTATTATGACGAGAAGTTCTTTGGTGACTTGATGACCGCCGTAAATGAGAATAAGAGAAGGTAAACTATATAAAACTCCATTAAAACATATGGTTATCTTTCAGGTACGAAGAGCAACTCCGCCGTTTCATTGCCAGCATCTCACAGAAAGCTGCGCAATCCTGAAACGTCGTCATACAATAACATGATTTTTTCAATGTAATTCAATTTCCGCATCGCTTTAGCGCTCGCTTCTCTCTGACTCTGTTTCCTATCTCGATCCGTCCCACTTCAGTAGCTCTTTTCCCCTAAGTGATTCATTTCTGTGATATTCAACACAATGTTGTGCCTTTTTCGTTACGTGTCGCCCCCGTTATATGGAAACAATAATTCAAGTTCACTTATTTAAGTCTCGCCTACGCAGTTTGCTTCTCACTTCATTCTTCCCGACCGTTCACCGTGTTCTTAACCTGTTTCTTGAAGACTGTCTTGAAAACGTGCGTTTTTTGTTCCGGAGAAACGCATTTTGATGTCATTTTTCAATTTCACCCTTTTTCTGTAAAACCCTGATTCTGTTTTGCTGAGCCTTTTTTTGACGAAAAGATTTTATGAATAAACACAAATGTAATAAATCAATCTTCATACAACATTTTTTCTCGTTTGGGGGTATTCTCCGCTCAATATTGTATGACTGCACACCAGATGAGGAGATTAGGTGACCAGCGTTGAGCAGAGTACGTCGAGGACAGGGTGTCTTCCTCTCCCTTTTCTTTCCTACTCCCCACTCCCGCTACTAACACATCTACCCTGCGGTTTTCGCATTATTGATTTTTGAGCTGCCAACATGAGCACGATTTCGCTTGAAAGCAAGACGAAACTACCGCAGAAGATATTGGAAATCATCACCGATGGCTCCGCACTGCTATCGATTCCTATGAGCAGCTCACAGGCCTCTGAGGTAAGGTTTTTTGAGCTGAAAAATTAAAAAAATGTATGTTTTAAGACACTAACTGCAAGTGCGAAGCAATTGTCATCAACGGAGTCGGTAGTGGATAAAACTGATAAGGTAAGTCAGTTCACTTCTTGCAAATACACTAATTTTGTTCCAGATGTTGCGAGAAATCGAGCTGATGATTTCGGACGTCTCAAAATCTTCCGCAAATCTAGAACAAGGGTAAGATTTGCTCAGATTTTGAAGATTTTCATCAAAAAAATGTCACTAATTTCCAGGTTGGATGTGGTTTGCGACATTCAAGAGTGCCTTCAAAAGGTGGAAAGGCAGAACTACTACAGCGCCGTGCCCAAATCCTTCTCGGCCGACAGTTTTGCGTCTTCAGTGGCTGGGGACCGACCAATCAATTGATTTGGATGCGGATTCTACCCAATTTCATTATATGATCTCAGGATGAACATGGTTCTGCTTTTACATTAATTTTAATAAATTACTGCTCAAACTGTCTGTTTTGGTTGGCGGTTTCTCAGTCATTTTCAATTCTGCGCTATGCTGTCCAGAATTCTCAAAAGTACTTGACAGGTCATTTTTCAGCAAGCCCTGGCAAAGATAGAGACAGTTTTTAGAGGGATTTGATGGCAAAACTGCCAGACTACGCCACTTTACTACTCCCCTCACTTTCCCCTTATTTCCACCTGTAAAACATCAACATCAGATATGAAACATAGTGCTTGAAGTCATTTTTTTTCTGATGGGTATCTCAACGGACTTCACACTTCTCCGCACATTTCACATTTCATTTCGAAAAGTTTCCCAAAAGCTTTTCCGCACATTCTTGTTTCAATTTCCTGCTCGCTGAATGCGCGAATGTTTGAAGATTGGTTTATTTTGGCCCGCCGGCGGCGAAAATACGGATATCACTGACACTTTGGCTTCCCGATCATAGTGTTTGCTTGCCGGTCAATTGATTATTGATGTGTGTGCCACTGAAGACATATACACACCCAACCAGAATTAACTCCGCCTTGATATGAAAGGCCCGACGAGAAAGAGAACATTCCTCATTAAACTCAACTCGCTGCCATTCTTTCATCTTTCTGTATTTCCTTCTTCATCTCGAGTTGCACTTCTCATTTGCCGAAAGATATTTGTGTCCTTGTCTTCAGGTACCCCCGGAAGTCAGAGAATCAAGCCTAGCACGACTACTCAACACTTGACAGGTCTAGGAGGCCATATTACGAGCGTTTTCCGGAATACATTGTGTCTGCAGCCTGCCAACCGACTGCCCTCTCTCGTTTTTTTCCCCTCCCCCCACCCTCGCTTTTTTTACTTTTTTACTTTCGATTCGTCACACACACTTTCACTTATGCCATCATCAGCATCATCGAGCGTGTTTCGATGCTTCCTACTTGTCATTTTCTCGTTTATCACTTCGAATTTTGCTCAATACAACAGGGTAAGATCGCATTTCTCTTGTTCAAACAGTTTCTGGAATTTAGTTCTTCGATCCATCAATTCCGGAACAAGAAACACTTCTGACCGATTATGACTTTGACATGATTAACACACTTCGCGATCAGGATCAGTGGTTCGTCAACGATTCCGCTATGTATAACCCGTTGAGGTTTGAAGGAGATATAGGTGCTTTTCTTAAGGATTCTTACATAAAAACCGTCAAATTTCAGCCAACTCTGGTCTGAACTCTCATTCTATCAGCACATTCCTTGGTGATAGCCCGCTGTTTGGCATTTTCGGAGTTCAGCGGAACGCGGTCAGGCAGACTTATCTGAAATGGGAACAAGCTCGCATTCCGTACACCATCAGCTCCCAGTATTCATCCTACAGTCGGACAAAGATTGCGGAAGCCATTGAGGAGTACCGAAAAAGAACTTGCATCGATTTTTCGCCGAAAAGTGCAGGGGACTTGGATTATATTCATATTGTCCCAGATGATGGATGCTATTCGCTAGTTGGAAGGATAGGTGGGCTCGTTCCTTTTTATTTTGACAATTTAATTTAAAAACGTTTAGGAGGAAAGCAACCAGTGAGTCTAGGAGATGGATGTATTCAAAAAGGAATTATAATTCATGAGCTCATGCACGCGGTGGGCTTTTTTCATGAACAAAGCAGAGCCGATCGTGACGAATATGTAAAAATCAACTGGAGTAACGTGGAAGCCGGACTTCAGGATCAATTCGATAAGTACTCCTTGAACATGATTGATCACCTGGGCACCAAGTACGATTATGGATCTGTTATGCACTATGCCCCCACAGCATTTAGTAAGGTAAGTGACTTCAGGTCTTCAAGAACTTCAAGAACCTAAATAATTGATCCGTTTCAGAATGGGAAACCAACTATTGAACCTGTTGAAAAGAACGTGGAAATTGGCCAGCGTTCCGGATTCAGTGAAAATGATATCTATAAGATTAACATGCTCTACAATTGTCCCAGTTTTAGTGAGAATCAGGTTACTGTATTCTATCAAAATCTTCTTTCTTGTTTAGCTACTACAACTGCAACTCCGGAGAACACAAAAAGAGTGAAGAGTATCACGAAAAAAGTGTCCATCACCCCTGTAAACAATTTTCGAATTAAATCTCATCATTTACTTCGTTTTTTTAGACCGAGAGCCCTCTTTCCAAGAAAGGAGGAATTGGATCTTCAATTGGTGACAAGGGGGATCGAGGGGACAATTCCATTCTCAGCTCGCTAATTTCAATCCATTCAGGCAAAGGAAAGTGTGAAGACAGGTAAACCGCCTCAGTTTTCTGCTGATTTTATCCAGCTCTACTTATTTTGTAGAAGGAAAGATTGTGAATTCCTCGCAAGAGCTGGTCATTGCGAGAGCAGGTTCAGCGTTCGATTCATGACAGAAAACTGTGCGGATAGTTGTGGAAAGTGCCAAGCGGAAGAGAAAGAGAAAGGAGTTTGCGAGGATGCTAGGTATATTATAGAACTAAACACATGTTATCCATACATCTTCTTCAGAACCTGGTGCGAGCGCTGGGCGAATAGTGGAATGTGCAATCAGACTATTTTCAAAGACTACATGCGTCAAAAGTGTGCAAAGAGCTGCAAATTTTGCTAACCTTTCACAATATTTTTTTAATATATAGATTTATTTATATACTTTCTGAACATTTCGCTTCAAAAATTTTAATATTACCGGTCGGTCCCAAACCCATGTTCTTTCAACTGTTTTTTTGCAGTGTCATTATAAATAAATAAAATAAGTTTATTTTACATTTTGTTAAACAAGCGGAATCTTCTGAGCGTGGTTCTACCGGTAAATAATGAGTGAGACACAGTAAAAACGTAGTTATGTTGTTTAGAAATCGTTCAAGATGAAAGATCATGAGGACTAGAAAAGTGACTATGGGCATGAAACTTAAAAGTTATAGATGAAAAGAGCAAAACTATCGTAATCACACGTACTTTGCGAAAAAGGACATTTCATCTGTAAAAATCACATATAACTTTGCAGGACCAGTGCATAACTCACCAACGAAACACTCACAAGAGACCCGTACATTCAGATTGAACTTTTTCCAAACTTGACATTCTTTTGTGCCAACGTTCCGTAAAACTACAAAGTTCATGTGCTTTTGACGGCATTTTCCATGCGCTGAAGTTATGCATTTTGATATAAAATTTGCTGTTCGCAAACCCTTACGATAGTCATAGAAATAGAGACACGCCTTATCAGTATCGCATGTCACTTCGTTGATAAATGGAGGGAAAAAAGTGTCGGGTAGACGGCGGATAGCCTGGCACGCTCCGCATAAACGCAGATATCCGTCTTCTTCCGCTCCTCTCTTATCACATCCGAATGGCACTATATGTGATTCACCTGTAAAAACATGGATTTTAATAAAGGATGTTTTCCTATCGTGTCAATGCGAGCCACAATCAATGTACGAAAAACTGTATCCAGAACTTTCTAAATCAGCCACACTTGAAATTAGGATTCCTTTCAGCTAATTTCAGTCTTCATTCTAATGCTTACCTATCAATTTCTGCCGGTACGTAATCCTCTCATTCTCAACTGAAAGTGGTTGATCGTAAAGCCTGGATACCGGCTCATCAACTGGTTGAGTCACATTCAGAACCTTCAAAAATTCCTCAATACCGTCCATTCTCTTCGATCGCCTTAAGGACGGAGAGAAAACTGTTCTTCGTGGGTCAACGCTAAAATTTGGATTTTTTAAAGAATCTTATGGAAATAAGTGAGACGTACAAAGAAATATTGTGGAACTTGTGCCTGATCTCATCAGATCTTAAGTCACAAGTCACGTTCAACTCTCTCATAAGTTTTTCCAAAGCTTCCACATTCCGTTCGATCACCTCTGTCTTTGATTTGTTTTTTGCTGATGATTTCTGAGTTTTCAATTCTTTGATGACTGCATATCAAGATAAAACACCTGATAATGCTCATGAATCGTTCGATCTAAAAATCGGATAACTCCTAGTGCATCCCATGCCATGAGTTCTGGATTGTAAGTTCCTTTTTGTTTGAGCTCCGCCACGAGCTCTGGCTGAGACAGTGTTTTGCATTCCGTGAGGAGTGAATCGTTGATCTACATCAATATTTTGAAAACTTATAACAAATGTCAACGAATCCTACATGCTGAAATTTTCCGGATTCAAATTTGGGCTGTGGTGATGAAATATCAGCTTGTGGTGTAGGCCCATCCAAGTTCTCACTCGTCGGCGTTAGTGTGATATTATTCGAAACTGGTTTCACCTCCTCCAACGTCTTTTTTATCGCTCCAATTCTACTCAAGAACCCGGCCGATTCTCTGAAGATGTATATGGAATAAGAATTGAATGTATTGAATGAATATTGTCGAATCACCGATTGGGCAGTGAGGCAGAAATTGGAGAGACCGATCGTTTTCGACGAGAATTTTTGATGGCGTTCTCGATTAGTGTAAGTTTTTTGGATAGATATTTCTGCATTTGTTCGAGTTCGCCTTCTGGAAAAAAAGTTTAGAAGCGGACCGAAAAGGATCGATATTTTTTTCTTTTTTGTGATTTGTGTGATTATAAGGATTCAGAATGAACTGTTTTTCAGACTTTTGATTAAATCTTGTTAAATTTGAGATCCAGAGAAAACATTTCGTTAATTGTTCTGAATATGCAAAAGTTGAAAGAAACTTAATTTCCATTTCTTTCTGGGCTCAACCAATTTGATCTATGCGCCCAAAAAACCTTGTTCAAAAAGTTTTCAATTGAGATGATGTCCTCATTTTTTAAGCCGATCACGCATTGCCACCAGTCAACAGTTTCGATTAGGCAATATCAACAAGATGGCGGCCACAGAAACGTTGCCGAGGAACTGGATTTGCGAAGTATACATCCTTCTGATGGCTTGCTGGCCTAGACTTTCCTTTTTTGTTCAGCTGTAGACAAATCGTCACAACATGCCGAAATCACATCATAAATTTCACAATAGAAGTCACAGATAGAACATTTTCCCTTTTTTTCGTTTCAAACCTGTTGCGCTGGAAATATCTGCGTCAAATAGTGAGGTTCCTGGTTGGCATGCAAAGAGTAACAGGATGAATAATGCGAGTTTCGAAGAAAGGCCTACTGTAGTCATGTCTGCTGAAAGGTTTAGGTCAAAAAGAGAAGAAAAAGACGAGAAGAAGAATAAAAAGAAAAAGCAGAAGAGATAATAAATTGACGAACGACGAGACACGACAGCTGATTCGAGATGAATGAAGAAGCGGCGAAAAGGAGGAAAGAAGAGAAGGAGATGAAGAAGAAGAAGAAGAAGCTGCAACGAACTGTACGGGTATGTACATAGAAAAGAAAAAAAGGATAGCCCCTCTTCCTCCCTTGTCCGAAGCTTCGCCGCCGATATACAAAGACCAATGGCGAGAACCAGATGTGTGAAGAGAGCGGCTGAAGATGGAAAAGAAGAGGAGGTGGTGTAAGATGGAGATGAAGCTGCTGCCGCCGGTCCTCACTACAAATGGCGGCTAAGGGCGCGGTTCGGGCGATGTGTTACTGTATTCGAACGGAAGGGGAATAAGATCACTCATGTCATCTCCCTTTTGTTGAAATCATCTGATTTACTCTAGCTTCGTGTTTTTTCACTCGTAGGGAGTTAAACTGCAACCTTCATTTACCGGTTGCAAAAAAACGTGGATTAAAAGAGAGACATTTCAAAATTCGTATTCAAGAAGTGGTCCTAAAATTTTGGTCCCAGCATAAAAAGTGCTCAATAAGAGGTGGAATTTTTCAACTGCACTGTCCGGTTTTTTCAATCATTTTGTGCGGTTCCTGGCAAAGATTACTGTTTGAAAGACCCATGTCGGTCTTACTTTTAGTTCTAGAGAAAAACAAAAAATAGAGTGACTTTATAATTATGTCCAGGTGTGTATTAATTAGAAACCATAACATAATTCAGATAACAAAAGATCATCGTATAATAGTGGCTGGAATTGAGGTAGTTTCAGCTTGATTCTGGAGATTTCGATAGTTTTTGTGATTTCTCCTCTTCACTTTTTTCTGGAGATTTTTCGGACGGTGGTTTCGGAGCAGTGTCATCTCCTTCAAACGTTGCTGGAGTCGTTGGTGGGAGCATGAACTGAAAATTGACATTGGAATAATTCGTGCTGAAACTACAAAAATGAGCTCACCTGTCTGAGTAACTCCCAGGGTCGTTCTAAAAGTGCGGCCTGGAGGGAATTGGAGAGCATAGTGGAATTCAGCATTGGTTGAATGACTGTCGGCGGTGGCTGTTGGACAAGTTGCTGGGGGAATGGGAAGGCTCCAGATTGGAGCGCAGCTAATGCGGCTTTCATTGCATCGTGTTGTGCTTGGATTGCTGCCTCGGATATTCCAAGAACTGGAATCAACGGGTTTTCTGTCAGCTCATCGTCGCTTTCCCCGTTGTTTCCGACAAGAGCTTCGTGACAAACCGTACGTCGTAATACATCTGAAAACCATATCTTTAAAAGTTAAAATTGCATAGGCACTCACGCATATACTTGGATTTGAAACAATCGCTCAATGTGAAAACCCGTTCCAGCTCGACCATACACGTCCGCAATGCCAAAATGGCCGTCTCCATTAGTGTATCAATCTCATCTTTGTCTGACTTCAACTGAACTCCTCGCTGCTCGAGTGCTTTGAACAACTGCAACAAGCACATGTTTGCCTAGCCTCCCAGGTCGTCGCACACGGCAAAACTGTGCCTTACCGTAAAGGGTCTTGATTTGACAACTCGTTTTTCTAGAACCAGTTAGGCGGGGTTGTCAAGCAAGAACCAAAAGAGCTGTCACCCACTTGGGTGTAAGAAGAAAAGAAGGGCGCGTGAAGAATGAGGGGAGAGGGGAACTGTTGGGTAAACAATGCATTGTTAAATTGATTCGGCAGCTCTGTTCTGCTCTATTCTGTTCAGCTGAGATCAGGGCTAAGCAGTTTGGCACAGAGTCATGAATCATCAAAGTTCAATTCAAGAGTAATTTCGAGAACGCAAATATTAGTTGGGAATTTGATATGTGTCATTGAACTTGTGCCAGATGTTATGCTAAATTTAAGAACCGCAAATCTACTTTCAACTGTAAACCAAAGATGCGAAACAAAATGAAAATTTAACCATGTTCTCTCGGTTACAATAATTCGGTTGTCTTGAGGAAATGTATAATGTTACCTGTGTTTTTGTCAGTAAATATCCGTATATCACGTATAGCACATTCATTTTGTACAAATTCTATCAAAACGTTTGAAATCTCTCAGAAAAAGAAGCCCTCTCTCCGCCGGACGAACAGAAAAAGAAATCTAACAGATCGGAACTATGCCATGGTGATTACCTCCCTCACCCTCCCAGATTGTTCTCTTCAGAATACAATGCAAGTTTTATGAGGTGTCCGTCGGAAGACTACTACAATACATTCTTAGACCCACATGCGACAGGAGGAGAATGCAGTTGGCGTCAAGCTTTTACTCGTCCTACTTCATCTTTTGCTTGAGTAACATTGTGAGTCTCATGTGTCAAAATTTCTTGGCCAAGAAAAGATTTGTCTCGACTTGAAAAGTTCAATATTGCTCATCCGCCCCCCGTCGGTTCTGTTTGTTTTCATTTGATTGGTTAATGAGTGTCAATTTCTTTGACGGGTAAACATCACAGTAACTGTAATAAAGGCAGGTGCCGAGCGAGAGAGGCACGTGCTCTCGACCCCTCGATAGCGCAATTTTCTAGCGACCACGCAAAACTTCTCCGCGTTTTCCGCACACCGCCGCACCACCCGCTATTCCCTTTGCCACTTTCACGTTCCGGTTGTCCCCCCCCCCCTGCCGGCGGTATATTTGTTTGCTCCGCCTTCTACTCTCTAGCTAAAAAATTCGAGTCAAGTCATATACTGCTTAAGCTGGGTGTGCTGTGCCAAGCCCCTTGTTCCATTCTCCTTCATATACAACATCAGTGCCTGAGGTGGTGAAGAAACGAACACAAAATGAAGTTTTTCGCGCTTTTCTTAGTGGTGGTGAGTTTTTATCTTCTTTCATGTAAAGTGACTTATACTGCATAAACCAAGATTCTTTGATTTAGGATAAGAAAAAAAGTCATCATGATTGTCTTAACATTGATCTCAAAAACAGAGAAGCGTGTGCAAAACATCCAACGCATACACCTATGTCTGGATAGATTCTTTTGTCGGTTTAGGCGCAAAATTGCTCATAACATTTGCTTCATTCAATTCAATTTCCTGCATAAAAACTAATATTTTCATTTTTACAGTATTCCAGACATAAGTTAATACAAAAACGTTCAAAAACTCTCTAAGTGACGTTGGCTATCTGTCAAAGATCTCTACGACCCTTATCACCCTGAATTTTGTCACAGTTTGTTAGTTTAGTTCAAAGGTGAAGCAGGCGCCGGCTCCAGCACCCGCGGAACAAGTTTTGAGCACACTCCGCGACACGCACTGTCAAAAATTAGTGTTTACAGTTGTAGTTATGCAGCCAGTTTTTTTTTGGTGTCTATGTTTACATGTCTACAAAAAAACCACATATATGTCTAAAAATATGCTGAAACATGAGACGTCGAAATTTCCTCCACACAAATCGAACAACATATGAAGAGTAATTTGATGCCCCTTGGCCTTTTCTAGAAAAAAAAGAAGAACAAAGCAGTAGAAAAAATGAGAGAGAGGGGGGGGGGGGAACATTATGAACAGGTAGCTAGACAGGGGAAATGACGTTTTGCTAATCAGCTTTTTGTTTTTGTCGGCCGGCGAGCCGCCAAGAAACCATTCGGGAAGACGGCCGGTGGCTCTTTTTGTTTACTTTTTGGCTCACGCCAGTGGCAATCTCCTTTTGCCGGCTGAAGAACGAAAATTAGCCCAGTCGCTAGCTATCATCCTAATCATTCCGTCAAGGAGAAATTATTTTCTTGCGCCCATTCGGACAAATTTATATGATTTCTCCCTATGAACATACTTGTGAACTACTGTAACATTCTTATTTCGATAAAAGTAGGGGTCACGTTTCAATCTTTACAAAAAAAATCAGTCAATCGATAATTTACAGTACGTGAGCCCTGGCTGCCTGTCGCAATGCGTCAACTGTGCTCCACAGCCGACTTACCAGTATGTGCTCAATGTGCCGAGTAACTATGTGCAAGTTCCCTCTACTGCTAACCGGTATACAATAGTTTCCTCCTTTTTTCGGTTCTAATCTAATACTCTCCGTTCCAATAGTCTTAACGTGGTTTTTTTGTCGGGAGAGGCTCATTTGTATCTAGTTGGAATGATTGTTTGTGAAGTGAAGTGATGTGTGGTTACATGGTAACAGTTTGTACGACAGGCTCGTCCGGTTTACAGATCACCTTGTTGCGTACCTACATCCAACGTGCAAACAATCCAATCAGCGCGAGCATTCACCAATGGCGCCCAAGGCAGTCAGGTCATCATGTACTATAACGGGCAAAGTAAGTCAAAAAACGGGGAACGCGAACAAGCACATCATCTTGTTTTTTCAGGAATTGTTAGTGGTGGACAGCAGCAAGGATCTGGTTACACACAGGTGCGTTCATAACTTTCATGCGGTCATTTAAGCAAAATTTTTTATAGACTCAGACCCAGGGCACCTATCAAAATCCTGGACCAATTCCTGGATATCAAAATCAGGGTGATCAGAATCAGAATCAGAATCAAACCGGATACTATCCATCTGCCAATAATCTCAACGGAGGAGTGATTGCTGGTGGTGCTGTTGCTGGAGGAGCTGTAGTTGGAGGTATTGGAGGAAACAATCAGCAATCAGGAGTTGTCAACGTGGGCGGAAATGTTGGAACAGAGAATCAAAACCAAGGACAGTACGAAGGACAGAATGTCAATGCTGGAGGAAATGTCGCTGGTCAGAATCAGAATCAAGGACAGGAAATCAATGCTGGAGGAGTTGTTGGCTCTCAGAATGAGTACCAAGAACAATATGGAAACCAAGCTCAGTACGGAAATGACCAGAACGCCTATCAAGGAAGCACGTTGTCGCCATCCGGCACAGAAGTCGGCTATCAACCATTTGTGCCATCCGGAAACGCCGAGTATAACGACGGCAATAACTATAACAATGGAAATGTGAACGGACAAGGTATGTATTTCTGAGTTCTACACATTTTACACTGTTTTATCTTATTCCAGGGCAGTACAATCAGCAGCAACAAGGACAACAAGGACAATATTCCACGCAGAACATTAATGGACAAGGTAAGAAGGTTTCAAAATGCAAGGGGTTTCAAGATTTTCAAATTTTTAGGGCAGTATGATTACAACTCAAACTACAACACGCAGCAACAGCAACAACAAGGCCAGTACCAGAACACCCAAAATGACCATAACGTGAACTACTCAACTGGAGGAATAGTTGCTGGTGGAGTTGTAGCCGGAGCGTCTTCTTCTTCTTACAACTCTCCTAACTCGGAATATGTCAATAGTCAAGCCCAACCACAGACCTATCCAACTCAAATTGTGACGGGAGGAGCAGTTTCGAATCAAAATGTTCATCAGCAACCGGATGTGAACACCCAGTACCAGGATCAGACTCAAGGTGGAACCCATGTGCAGTCTAACCAACAAACTGCTGGACAACAACAACAAAATCAACAAAATCAGCAAAATTCTGGTCAAAATTCTCAAGGAGGATACGTTGGGCAGCAAAACCAGCAGAACTCTGGTCAAGGAAACTCTCAGAGCAGCCAAGGAGCTTATGTTGGATACGGTAGCACCACCCATGCTCCGCAGTACACCAATTCTCAGTACACGACCGCTTCTGGAAACCAAAATCAATACCAGCAATCTACCGGACAATATGGGGATTCTGCAATTGTTGGCGGTCAAGGTCAAGGATACTCAACTACATCTGGACAGAATCAGCAGAGCCAAGGTTACTATACAACCTCTCAAGGATTCTCTAGTACTCCTAGCTATCAACAAGGTGATTTGACCGAGGGGTCAGGTTCAGAAACTAGCCAGTTCACAGACGGACAACAACAGCAGCAATATGGCACATCATCATCTGGGCAGCAGGGTTTTACCAATGGACAACAACAAGGTTACACAGAGTCCACCCTGACCCCATCCGAGATCCAGAACGACCCGAACTTTTTGCAAACCTCTCAAGCCCCTTCATCTCCGTCCCCAACAACCTTCCAAGAAACTGGTAGCCCTACAACCACCCAATCCCCAATCCCAGTCATTTTCCCCGCTCCTTCTGCTGGTCAGACAACTTCAACTAGCTCCCCAACCTTCACCCCTACCCCATCTTCAACGCTTGGTCAGTTTCAAACTACAACGACCACTGAATCTTCTAACCAAGATGAGTTCGGCTCCAACCAGGCGCTGAATAATGATGTTACTGATGGTCAAGCCATCACTAGCACCCAATCCTCCACAATCCCCGTCTCGGTCCTAGTCCCCGTTTCCCAGAACCAAAACCAAAACCAAAACAACGGAAGTGCACCTTTGGAGTCTTCTACTTCTACTATGAGCTCACTGCAAAACGATGGAGCAATCCAAGTTACAGGAAACCCCGCCACAGCGTCAGGACCCTATCTCGTCGGAGGTGGTGTCCAGGGTCAAACCAGCACTAACTCATATCAATCGACTACGCCGACGACAACGACGACAAATTACAACGGAAATAATGGTGGTGCGACCACGACCGCAGGAGGACAGCCACAGCAACAGTCATCAACCGAGGTAAGGGCTCGTTAAAATAGGAGGAAAAAGAGAGAGAAAAGGAGTGATAGGTGTTTGATGTTGTACATTTATTGTGTGTCTCTTACAGTTCCAATCAACCACTGGAATGCCAACGAACGACAGCAATCAATCCGGTTTCATCTCTTCGTCCAGCAGCACTGCGAACCCGAATATGCCACAGGCACAATATCCAAGTCAACAGGAAATTATGACAGCCACTGGCCAGACTTCTTCATTTGCGGCTGGGAGTACTGTAGCTTCCAACCAAGTTTCTACGCAAGCCCCACAGTATCCAAGTCAACAGGAACTTGGTGCAGTTGCTTCTAGCACTCAATCCCCTCAATTCCCCGCACAACAAGATCTCGGGGCAACTGTCGCGTCATCGAGTAATATTGATGGCAATAACAGTAACCAACAGAACACGGGGGCGACCCCACAGTACCCTAGTCAGCAGGAGCTGTTACAAAGAGACCAGCAGCAAAATAATGGAGGAAACGTCGAAGGATCTACTGTATGTTGTACTTTTGAGTGTGTTTTGTAGATTAGTTTGGGAAAATGTTCAAGTAGATTTCTTAATTCTTTCTTCAATCTTTTAAAATATTGGTAATGCATTGAGTTCATAGTTATCTCTTAGGTTCGAAAACTATCGTACATTCAAGGCACGTTAAAATACAAGGTAAGACGAATCTATACAATATAACGCGCACTTGTTTGATCTGAAGCTACTTGACAAAAAAAGCACACTAATATAACTTTTCATATGAACAATGCTTTAGCTATTCAATTACTAATCACTCATCAAATTCATTCATTTCTTTCAGGATTCTGCGTTCACACCTCAATATGGAGACTTGAACACTCAGTACGGACACTATGCGTCAAGCACAGGTACGAGATGAGAAAATGGGTTCATGGTAACAATTGAAAAGCAGTTAAAGCATCACCAAACGCCCAGTTCGACCAACCTTCTGCTGATCAACAGCAAAATGCTGCGATGGGAAAGCTCAAAGTTCTCATTCCAACAGTTTTGATGATTATTTTGTGGTGAATTTGATAATTTTTAGTTGAAAGATTGCTCAGCTTGTTTTCATTTCTTTCTCTGTATATTTGAGGCCTAGCCACCACCACAAATTGCTCCACTTCATTCAAATATTCAAAGACTTGCCCACCCCCTCCCCCCTTCTTTTCATTTGCTTAACTATATATTGCTCTTTCATTTCCTACTTATATGCACTGTTCTCAAAAATAAATAAATATTATCAACTCACAAGTACAACATCTTCCATCTCGAATGCTTTCTTGTCGAATTTTGTGACCGCATCTTCACATTTCTTGAAGAGAAGCTAAAAGTACCGTTATGGTTTTTTTTCAACTTCTACTACATACCTCAACAATTGGCATCAAAGGATGTGAGATAATTTTCTCAGAAATCTGCAACTTTCTCGTGCTGCTCCTAATGTTGGATGATGTTGTGGCACACTGAAGAAGTGATGAGTAGATTGACAATTTTTAATTGTTTTTTGACTGGACAAGCACTGATAACACACATTTTATGAGATTTATGGTGTATGAAGGAGAAATTTTGCGATTGTGATTTCAGCGCACAGCTCCGGTGTCATAAATACCCGACAATCAAAACTTTGTTATCGGGAATAGAATGAAATGTTTCAGAAATGCAAATTTAATAGACTCTTAAATTTTGAAATTTCAGAATTCACATCACAAATCGTAAACAATTTTAGAGCTGCGTGACTAACCTTCAAATTTGGAGACATATCATAATGTTGCGAATGTGCACAAAAGTGAAATGTGTATGTGTGTGCTCATAGATATCATATCACAAAGAAAACGTGAAAAGTGCCGCCCCTGTCCTAAGTTTAGGTCAATGGGTCATTAGCGATAGTGTGTTAATGATATTGTGCGTTATGAACTGCCGACAACTTGTCAAATACCTGTTTTTGAATCTTTATAACGCCTGCTTGAGTCAACGCTTCCTGGAGCAGAATATTACGGTCTGAACTTGAAGACGTGGAGGGTTCCGATGTCATAAGCCAAGTCCTGAACATTTTTTGGGGACAATGTTGAATGAAACTTGAGAAGGCGGTTCCAGGAGGTATGTACGCAATAAAAGAGCTCAGGAACATAAGACAAAAAGGTGGTTGTAACGAGTTGTGAAAACAAAGTGACATGTGGTTTGGATAATAACTGACAGCAGGTAGAATCCCTCCTTCCCCCCCCCCCTTTTCTCTCCACTCCCTCGTAGCGCCCAGCAGCAATATATGCGCGCACTTGTCGGCTGCACATCAAAAGAGCCTCCACGGCCATAACGGTAGTAAAATTCGACTGCCCCTCCCTTACTCACCCCCGTCTCCTGTCCCGGGCAGGGATGGAAGAGGGAGGTAGTGACGAAGCCGCACCCGTTTCCAAGTACCTTCGACACCTTTTGACGTCCGTTATCCAAGGACGAAGGTCCATGATGGTTACGGTTCCGTGATTACATGTTATTATCACCAAACACTAACAAAAGAACGGTTGCCGACCGACAAATGGCGGGATCTCTCACTCGCCGACAAACGTACCGTATACCGGACGGCGAATAGAATCAGAAGGCGTGAAAAAAATTGGGGAAGGTTTCCAATCGGTGAAATAGGTAAACTAATAGGAAAGAGAGAATACCTTTAGTAAGTTTATTTGTTTCTAAATAAACAATAAGTGTGTAGTTTGGTTTGTAGACAGATATTTTATAACTTTAGGAAACTTATGCAATTGCAACTTGCCTCACACCCGTAGGTTTGCTGGGAGTCCATCTTTGGATCTATCAGAATCGCAGGAAGTTTCATAACACGATAACATTAGCTCACCGAGCTGTGCACATGTCCTTTCAACATTATGCGACTACCTATCTCTAGCCCCTAGAGTCTAGTCAGTTTCTTTATCAAAATTATCAGGAGCAGCATGTTCAAATTAATGATAAAATCGAAAAAAGGGAAGAGAAAAAAGTTCAGTTTGGTGTGTCAATTGCGAGGCAAAAAGTTGATGACAAGAAGAAGAGACAGCCTGGTGCGTATATGGCGGTTGATAGGCAGCGAATCATAAAACGATTTACGGCTGTGTCGCGTCCCTCTTTATACCCTCTTTTCCTCCACTTTTCTTCTCTTTTTGTTTCCAAGTTCCTTAACAATTACTTGAGAAATTGTTCAAGAACTTCAAGAACTAACTGGGATCCGTGTAACTAAAAAAACACGGATGTTTTTTGAAGAATCACACAAGTATGTACTCACTTGGAACACTTACAAAGTTTTACAATTAGGTGACCGTTTCAGATGGCCCGAGAGAGCCCTGTTGGAGGGTTCGAAGGCTTTCCTGTTGGAGGAATATTTTAGGAGACTTATCGGACCGCCTATAAACTCCACATAAAAGTGGAATAACTTTTCGACTCTTGGAATAAGTTGTACACTTCAGTCTAGTCGTACAACTTTTTCAAAGGTAGAAAAGTATTCTCTTCATATTTGTTTTATTTGAATCTGGTGATTATGCCGCTATTGCTCCCAAAGTTATGTTTTTTATGTTGTTTTTAAATTAATATGTGAATTTTCAGTCAGAAGTGTGCCACGAAATACAACGGAGCTCAACGCTGCTGTCTGGCCACTTCCCGGTTAAAAATCAAAATCTTGTTCGTTCGGCTTCGGAACTTTGACTGTAACAAACCCAATAACAATCTTGTCTAATTTATAAGAATAAAGTGATAAAGGTATTTCCAGCGTCGTGGCCCAAAGCAACAAAACGGTACTGATATGAAAATCCCACTGAGAAGTACTCAATTCTATATTATCAACATTTCGCTTGCTCATTTTTCTCGAACAGCTAATCCCGTTGACATGTTTGAGCATAATTACATTTGGAGTCGTGGCCGGTGTGCTTGCTGACACCACACGACCAGAAGATTTTTTCATTCTTTCTCTGCTCATGTTCATCTAATGGTGTCTTGTCGTCTAACTTATCTACTCTTTTTCGCTAGTTTTATTGGAGATGCAATTCATCGAGCACGAAATAAAAAATTATCGTTCCTTGTTGTATTCTGAGTCATAGAAATCGCTGGCATCTATTTTTCTTTTGGCTGTGCTCTTGAGCCGATTTTTTTTCAAAATTGTCAAATGCCTAGAGAAAAACTTTATTGGTTAAAGAAAACAAGTAAAGCATACGACAAAACTCCATTTTCAAATTGTTCCGCTTTTAATGTATTTCTGGAGTTCAGAATCATTTTAATCTGTCATCTCCAGACTCCACAAGTCTTTAGCCATTTCGAGAGACCTGAAAGCTGTAATATTCATAATTAATTAAGTTTAGATACTCTTTGAAATCTTTCTGAAAATAATTGGTCCCCAAATCTTCTTCATCTTTCCCCATTAGCTCTCTCTCTCTCTCTTCTTGTCTTTTCCTTTCTAATCTTTGCTTTCTATTCATTCTCACATGGTGCTTGAAGTTCATTCATCCGTCGACGCAGTACTAGTCGCTTCCTTCTGTTCAACGAATAAATTGAGTTGCATCCCCATCGCTTCTCTTTCTTCTTCTTTTTCCTTTTTTACCCCCCTTCCCCTTTCCTTCTTCCTCGAGCGCATAGCTCAATGTTTTCTGGACTTTGATCATCTGCTACAACATCTCCTTCTAGTAGCAAACTATCTGCTCTGGTTGGAAATGCAATGATGAAAAGGAGGATAAACGTGAAGTGTACGTGCACCTGCCCACCAAAAGCCACAAACTTTGGCGCGTCTTGGAGGAAAGACGGAAACGGAATAAGAACCAACCCAATGGTCGTTGATCATGAATTTATAACGAGAGCCAAGAGCGTTTAGATGTGAAAGTTTTGGAAACAAGTTTCAAAGATTACGAGGTGCTTGATGCAATCGAATGCTTCGACAAATCAAAAGTCAAAAAAGTTTCGAGGCACAACAGAGTTAAAAATCACGACTTCGGGCAGCGTCTGGGCATTTTTGCGAGAAATTTGTGGTTATTCACTCGACATTATCAGGTTTTCATGAACTCTGAGCTTCAACCGACAAGGTTCTACTGGGACACTGGGATTACACGTTCTTCCGGACATCTTTTGAACAAACAAGCCCCTGAAACTATTATATGCCACAAAGCTCACTGGAGCAACAGTCTATGAGCTTTAAACTTTTTAAAAGAAAAACGCGAACCCCCCCCCCCTCCTTTGAAAAGGAAAACTTGATGACGTGAATAATAGGCCGGATAGTTCAAGAACAAAAGTGCACGAATGGACAGCGGATAGAAAAAGAACAATGCTATTGTTCTTCATCTTTCTCCTCATATTCTCTTCTTTTTTTCACCAACTTTTCATCCTGCTTCCGTATTTTCCGTTTCCGGCATAAAAGATTTCCCGAAAATCTCATAAGCACTCAGTCACATTCTGACTAATCCTCATGTTGCTCAGCAAAATCTCAGTCTTCCCGGCAAGGCAGAAAGCTGTGGGAATCTAGAATCAGACGCGATCTAATGGGCCTATTCAGGGGATGAAAAAATGATTGTTTTCCGTTTTTTTCCCTATTCAGCGATGTCAAAAAATGGAAAAAAACGGAAAGAAATGCATCGCTCGCAGCGTTTTTTTCCGGCGGGTCTCGCAGCGATTTCCCGGACGCGATGCATGCGGCTACTGTAAGTGGCGTTTAATGAGTGGATTTACGAGAAGGGGAGGATTTTCGAAAATGTTACTGATTTTTCAGCGAAATTACAGCTTTCTTCAGCGAATTTCAGCAAAATTGGCACGTTTCCCCGCTATTTTGAACCGATTTTCACCGAAAAGCTCAATGTTTTGAACGATATGACGAGGCACTCGAAACTATCAACAAAAAAAAAAGAATTCAAGCGAAGTCGGTCGGAAATAGCGGTAAACGTGGCAATTTCGCATCAGTTACCATAACAGATAAATAAGAACTGAAATTCCGTTGAAAATCGGTTGAAAAAAGCGGTAAAACGTGGCAATTTCGCTGAAAAATTAGAAAAAAAACTCCTCCCCTTCTCGTAAATCCACTCATTAAACGCCACTTACAGTAGCCGCATGCATCGCGTCCGGGAAATCGCTGCGAGACCCGCCGGAAAAAAACGCTGCGAGCGATGCATTTCTTTCCGTTTTTTTCCATTTTTTGACATCGCTGAATAGGGAAAAAAACGGAAAACAATCATTTTTTCATCCCCTGAATAGGTCCATAACTCTCATGGTCATGGTCATTGCCCACCCAGCCCCCCCCCCTACTTTGTCTGTAGTACCAGCAAACCAAGAATCGCTGAAAGGAACATCAAATTCCTGTCGTCGTCGTTTTCATTATAAATCGGTACAAATCTAATGTAAGCGTTCAATGATCAATTCGCTTTTCTCACACATTTCTTTGGGTCTATTCGATTTATCTTCTTTGCAACTTTTTAATTCTCTCGTATTCGGGCGATTTGACACTGCGGGTGTTGTTCTGTTATGAAAAGGACTCCGCGTGTTGAACTTACTCTCCAATCTTATGGAAATCAAAGTAACATCGAGTTAATTGTGGTTTTTATATCTATTTTTATCTATCCCATGAACTTTGGGACCTCATAATGTTCTAAAAAGGCTACTCGATCCTTGTTTTGGTCCTCTGAAAAGATGAAAATGTGATCCAAATCCAGCATTGCCTGAAGTTTCTTTTGCATTTTTTTTACTCTCTACCTAAAGGCAACGCTGAGAGACTTACAGTACTCTCATGACATCTATAAAATAAAACTAATCTTCTTAAATCCAGTTCCGTCTCATCGTGAATTATTACTCCAGTAAGCTCTGAAAAACTAGTTCCAGACCTTCTTCTCGTCCCCCTTTTCCCGTTAGCTCACTCTCTCCCTCTCTTCATATCCCTGGTCATTTTGTTTTTTCCTCCGTTTTCTTCCGTCCTCAGTTCCCGCCGGCTGTCCGCGCCAGTCTGTTGATGATTTCAGATATTTTCAGTTTTCTCCGTGTCTCTTAAAGTACTCGGTCTCTTTTTATATACGCACGCCAATACCGAACACATAGTGCTCTGGCTGG